GTTCAGTTACTGGTGGTTGTGATGCTGCAAACACTTTGCACTCGCCTTTTGGACGACCTCTGCTGCGAATAACCTCATTCTTTACGTTTGAAACTCCGAATTTTGAAGGTAGCCATGTCATCATTATGCTTCACCTCCAACCCTAGATAGAACTACCTCAATCGAGAGCGCTTGGTTTTCCTGGCAGACTTACGCTCACGAGAGCATCCGCCGTCACTTGGCTACACGTTTGCTCAGACCACGAAGAAAGCAGACTGCGAAGCCCTGGTTTACGGCAAGCCACAAGCGACTGCACAAACAGCGAAACAGGATGTTTGCCCTAGCCAAGCGAACCAACGCCGTGCAGGATTGGGTTGCGTACAAGGTGGCTCGCAACGCACTCTCGAGCAGCCTACACCGCAGCAAAGAGGATTACTTCAACCAATTGTGCTCGCGTATTGACAGTGAAAAGAATAATAAATTACAGGTGGTGGGCACAAGCCAAGAAGCTCGCGAACATTACGAGCCAGACGGCTAACTTACCGACGCTAACCGACGAGAGTGGGAAGCCCAACGCAACGCAAGCAAGGCAGAAAAGCTGGCAGACACGTTTGTAAGACAATTCTCGCCAAACCCTAGCTTCGACCTAGCTGCAGCTCTCCTGACGCCCTCGTTCTCTACACCTGACCATGAGTTTGATCTGCCAAGAATAACTGAAGAAGAAATCTTCCGAAAGCTCCGAACACTTCCGGCAAGAAAATCCACCGGAGGACTGATAACAAATAGAATCCTGAAAGAAACTGCGCCCGTGATCACGCAGTCCTTGTGTCAGCTTCTCAACCTCAGTCTTCGTCTCGGACAACTACCAGTAGACTGGAAATCGCCACTGTTATCCCGATATTCAAGAATAATGGACAACCCGCAGTACCCACCAGCTATAGACCAATCTCCCTCCTTCCAGCCATTGCCAAGCTCCTAGATTCGATCGTCGCGGAGCACCTGACGAGGTACCTATCCAGACATGACATAATCTCTGCCCACCAGTACGGTTTCGTCCGCCGGAGATCAACACTGGATCAGCTCGTCATGCTGACATCTAGGATAGCCAAGGCGATAGGCATGGGCGGGTAATGCTAGCATTATGGCTGGCATTATAGTCCCTTTTTTCAGGTGGCATAATGCTGGCATTATAACATCATTAAGCATGCAAAATTGGCATTACAAGCATAATTGCCGGTCGACAACGGTGTCATGCATGAAGCTGGCTATGTCCAGTTCCGAAAATCGTGCATCTGAACCCGTCCAGCTTCGTCCGGAGACTTGACGATGCAAATCAACCTTCTCAGTGGATTGTTTCAGACAACATGCTCACTGCTGTTCTTTTTAAAAGTTTTTTTCTTCTACGTTTTGGCCTTGATCCAAGACGGCCTTCTTAAATCAACTTTTCCTACTTTCAAACTGGCATTATGGATTAGTGTGAGCATTATAAGTGGCATTATATCCTCATATTATGAGCATTGCCTTTAGCATTATCGCCGCAAATAACTAGCATTACCCGCCCCATGACTAGTGCTGGACACTGCTCACTAGTACATGAAACCCAGCATCCATCCGTCTTGCGGCCAGCCAGAAAGGCAGTTACATTCCCATACAAGGCGGAGGACGCACTGACAGTCTGTGTTTGGAAACAGTGTCCCCCTACTACAACCTCCACGGTTGGCAGAGCCCCGGTCTTGCGACCATTTGAACCGTATGGGTGTTAGCCCTGGTTCTGACCCTCATTATGCTAGGGAGTGGCCCTTTCCCAAAGATGCCATAATTTGTCGCAACTAATCGCAACTAATGCTTTTTGCCAAAACAAGTACAAGTGGCTGAAATCGCATCCATAATTTCAGAAAAACTCAAAAGTTGCTAACATCACAACTCTAAAAAAATTGGAGAGTTGTTGTGCAAAACCACCAGGAAAAGGACCAGAAATACAGAGGTGCTGCGACAGCAAACTCGTACACCCCCTAACTGCCGTGAACCACAACTAACTAACACAGTGCCAGTAGCCTGTTGCATGTATCCTACATCATTCCAGTGCACGGAAAAGGGAATGCACATCAAAGTAACTACGGTTGATCTACTCCCGGTTTCTCTGACAAGTGACCTGAGTCTGGCCTCGCCTCTGAAGCCTACATGTAAGTGAAGGCAGGCGAGAAATGAGCGGGTTACCGTATTATCTCTAATATAAGCACAGTCTCCAATAATAGCACGTCTCCAATAATAGAACACCTTGGGGCGGCATTCAAAAAATAAAGTGCTCAGTCTCCATTATAAGCACACTGTGTAAATTCATTATCTGTACCGGTGAAAAAACCCTGAAATGTGTGTGTCTGACATGAGTTTGGCATGGCAAAGTGGCGAGCATCTTTGGGAAGGGGCTAGTCAGTAGCCGGTTGCATGTATCTTCCATCATTTCAGTGCACGCAAAAGAGAATGCACGTAATTACCGTTGATCTATTGTTTCTCGGAAACCTACCTACCAACCATCCCGATTTGGCCGGGACCGTCCCGATATCGAGGGTGGTAAATACTGGTAATACTAATAGGCACCCAAACGTGCATCTGTCGCATCGACTCGCATGCCTAGCCTCACAGCTACACTTGTATACAATCATGTTCATACCTACATGTATAGACCTTATTCGATAAACGTCACAATCAAGTGAACCGGGGTCCCGGGAACCAGGGAGTGGCAAGAGACCTGCACTCAGTGCACAGTGCACAGTGAGTGGACTCGGCGTGGGAGCATTGGAGTAGAAAAATACCGGTACTTTACTACTCCCTTGTACGAACTGGGCCTTTCTTGCCACTCGTTTCACGTAGATCTACGCGTGCCCCAGCTTACGACAAATCCCTGGAGGCGAGTCCAAAAATCACGTTATCGAAGTAGCACCAAGAGTAGATAAACAAGAGTGTGCAACTCCGGGATGGGTCGGCCGCGGCGGAATTTTTTGTTGACGTAATCTTTTCGACGATGCACGCGCTGCGAGTCTTTTGGAAAGTTGTGCCTCGTGCACTTGGCCGGGCTTTACATTACAAAGTCGGTGCCCAGCACGTGCTCTCACACTGCTCTGGGGCAAAATGCGCGTTCTTCTGAAAAAAGGTGACGTGAACAAAAAATTCCCCGGGGGTATCTGCAGATTGTGCAGAAGAGGTCCGGAGTTGCACACTCTTGTTTATCTACTCTTGGTAGCACCTACTCCACTTTTATGTTTATGTATCTATGTCATTCGGATCTTCCCAAGTAATTGTACATTGTACTGTTGAGATACCGAATTCAAATAAATCAATACCGTACCATACCATATGCAGGTAGGTATGTCATTGTTCCGATCTCAGGTTTGCAATGGTTGGCACGTGCATGTGCATGTATGCTGAAAGCGCACGAGAAATGAGCGTGTACATGTCTATACGTATGCATTAGTCCGACATGTAGTCTTTGACTTGAGGTTGAACTTTGGACCACCGCATGAGGCCAAGGTTGCGGAAACGGTGTGAGGTAGACTAGCAGTTCGCGAAAATGCAGAAAGTTGCTAAAGTTAGTTGCGAGATTTGGCTGTCATCAGGAGTGCAGAATGCGGGAGCGACCATCAACTGCTAGCTATGACTCTGCAGCTGCCCTCGCCGGTGCGGCGTGGGGCACAGAGCAAAGGTAGTGTCCACTGTCCAGTGCCGGTTTGATGTTACTACGCCTACCGATATAATTATACCAGGTAGTGATCAAGGAGGAGATCGACCGCAACTGGCGCCAGAACGCCAACATAGTCATTACTCATTGTGGAGAAATGGTCCTCTATCAAGTCCACCCTCGACACCGCTGCATCCCTCCGTGTCATCGTTGGTTCCGGAACCGCGGTGGCTCGGCTGCGCTTACTTTCTCCGATTCTACCTCATGCCCAGCACCGATCGCATCAGCTGCTGCTGCCACCATTGATGCTACCGCTCGACGTTGCTGCAGTGCTCACTGTGACATCTGCAATCGTTGTTTCTGCTCAACCCAGGGACGCAACCGACGTCGCTGTTCAATGCACTGCCACCGTACAACGGCTAGAGAACGGGGCAAGTTCCCGCACATTTGTATCTGCTCTAGGCGGGCTAAGGCCCTGGCGGATAATGCCGCCAGAATTTCGAGCAGAATATGGGTTATTTAAACTTATTTTAGAAAAGGAGCAGAATGAGCAGAATTCGCAGAAAAGTGCAGAAGAAGGAGCAGATACTCTGCAGAACCAGCTACGAAGTGCGGAGAGGGCTGCTGGCGCCTATTTACGGCTCCATTGTGTTCACAAGCACGTGAGAATCCGGCACAATACGAGCAGAATACCAGCAGAATGCGAGCAGAACGTCGAGCAGGAAACGCTACTTTCCGAGAATTATCCGCCAGGGCCTAAATTCTGCTCTCACAAGTAATAGTCGCTTGGGCACTTTCAATTTTCAAAAGTCCTGTGTACATTTGAGTCCAACATTTCTAGCGCTATCCTAGCTGATAGAGTGGGTCTCTAGGAGTGTTTTGGCACTAGGGTGCCATCTCGGAGCTGGGGCATAAGGGAGCGGCGAGTGGAATACTACGTGTCCAATTTCCTGTACAATTTAGATCATGTAACCATGGTAACGGCGCTGACTCATTCAAAGACTGGCAGAATTTACATCGTATTGTCGACTTTCCGAGTTGCCTATGTGACTGTAAAGTACACCAGGCACGCAGATACATTGAATGTTTGATGATAGGATGATGTGGACTGTATAGACCTCTTCAGGTTCCTGAAATATCATACTATTTTTGGTTCAAAGCTAGCTACACACTAGAGCACAATCAGGTATGTACAGTAGAAAGTTACTCCTGTGATTAGTTTATACTATTGCAGAGTTCCATTACTAGATTCAAAGTTCCATAATGTGTGCCAGGATTTTATAGTTTGGTAGTATGAGTCCGTGATGATGCCCGAGCACTCAGCGTGGCATGACAAATCGGCAAATCACGAAGTACAGTTGGAAACCGCCTTACTGCCATCAAACAATCATCTCGTTATAACACAATCAAGCCTGTCTACCTCAGATAAGCAAGTGTCTTAGTACACTGTTCTTGATATCATAGGTGTCCTCAGTCATGGGACATTTGGTGATTATAAAAAGTACACAGCAAATGTTTAAAACCGGCACCTAAGAAATCACGGGATGGCCCACGCCTGTTATTAAAAATACACCAAAATGATAAGAATTCTCAAGGCAGAGACCAATGCGCAGCAACACGTACACACACAGTGTTTGCATTTGAGCTGCAATTGCAGCAGTTGGCACTGAGTGTCAGTAACACTCTGTTAACAAGTTACGGCCGCGAGATACATGTATATAGCAAGGAGCATGACTTCATGCCTGGCGTCGCGGGTCACAAGAGAAAACCCGAGCATTAGAAATAATATTAATACACAATGAGAGGCTTTGGGATGCGTCTAGGCAATGGTTGGACACACACGACCGGCGGACGCACAAAATATGACATCCTGTGCTAGAGACTGGGCGCGACAGTGTGTTCTGAGATGTTGCCAGTTGTGCAATTCAGCCGAAAGTTCCTTCCCTGTGTACATTAGAAACACACAAGCCATAACAATGAGTTAATAAGACCTCCACAATATTGACTTTCTGATATCCAACATCATGCAAAACTACTTTTGTATTACATATTCACTTTTCTGCTACGTAATTCCGATTATTACACGTGCACAGACTACACACACTGTACATACGTCACTGCACAATCGGAGTGTGCTCGTTTTTCTCACATTTCTACGGTCCACTATGTGCACGTTATGTACACATCTTCTGACATGGACAGCACAATGTCTGTGCAATCAGATGCTACCACTGCAGTTGGGAAAAGTCCCAGGCAGTTACTGCCAGGGGGTGGGGGGGGGGGGGCAGAGGAAGGGGAGGGCATACAAGTCAAACACTAAGATCCACAATGAGAAGATTATAGTGAGTGGCTAGGGTAGATGCTTACCAGTAATAAGAAGACATAGGAACTTGTAGAGGTCACCAGGAATTGGAGTTGCCTCAGCTTGGAGGCTCTCGGCAGTCGGCACGGCAGCGCCACGTGTTTCCAGTGGCTGGATGGTGTGGCGCAAATGGAGTGCTGTGTGACGCATCTCAAGCTCAGCAATGGCTTGCACACCAACACGACTATGGTCTGCCATATCCTCAATGTCAAGTTCCTGACCGTCTTTATCCTCTGTAGGTTCTACAAGGCTCTTGGCACACACGGATAGAAGCAAGGCCTTGGGACCGCAGAGGAAATCACAAATTCCCCCAGCAGTTGGTCGGCTTGGACAGCTGAAGAACAAGATCTGTTCCTGGAAATAATCAACTAGCAGCTGTTTCAGAGCAAATAAACGCCACCTGGGTGGGTCGTTGACGCCAATGGAAGACAGGAGGGTGGCATACTTCCGGCGCATGCTGGCCATGCTCACACAAGCACCGACGTCTACCTTACTTTGAGATAGGACAAGTGTCTGCACGGACATGGTCAGCTGGGCAAATGCTGCACCGAAGCTGTCAGTATGACCCAGGGACGGTGCTGTAGTGGACACTGTGGGCTTCGTCAGGCCCTCGAGTGTCCTCTTGTGAGTGTAGTTGGCCAGGCACGAGCGGTGATATCCCTGGCGATTGCATCTCCACCAGACACCTCCCTCAAGACCCGCGAGTCACTGCGAATTGTTGCAGCATTGACGATGTTATTGCTCGCACTGAACGATATGCATTGGGTCAGTGGCTCCTTTTTTCCACTTCTTATTTTTGACAGGTGCTGGCAGAATAGGCCCCCTGTCTGCTGTCTGGCTCCCACTGGAAGGGGTCCGCTTTTTGGGGGCTCAACATCTCTTTGCTCAGGCTCGCTGTCATCACTGTCATCATCATCATCATCATCGCCTTCACTGCCTTCGTCGCCACCAACAGCCTCGACGGGCCGGACAGACTCAGCAACGGCTGTCTTCTTCAAAGTCTTTTTGTTTGTGTACCACTTGTAGCAGGCTTTGTGGTATAGAACTTCGCCGCAAGTTTCTCTATCAAGATTTCCGATCGACATCCAAGTGTCATCTCTCTTCGTCTCAGCTGCATTCCATAGGGTAGTCCAGGTAGTCTCCGTCAAGCGCTTGAGAGGCTGATGAGCAGGAAAATTCGGGTTGTGACAAATGCATTTCACTCCTTCACCTGAAGCTTTCGCCAAGGAAACAGTTTCCAGCCCCAAATCGTCTGCCATGTCGAACAAGACAACTAACAACAGGAATCATAAACACTTGCACCTTCTTATCTGCCATCTACCTGTCTAGGTTGTCGGACAGATCGGCAAAGAAACTTAGAGAGGCCATGCGATCGGCATTGGATGAAAGCAAAAACACAATTGTCGAACCAGTCAAGTAAGTTTGAAATTTAGTCGTGGGCGGACGTCATCATCCTTTTCACTTGCGCAGAATTCGCATATGCGTGTTTTGAGCATGCGCTTAATTTGCACAGTGTTCGTCTTCGTATTCAAACAAGTCGCCGTAACTCCCTTCAGCCCCAACGCAGAAAAGGCACCCAAGCGCGAAATTGTTTGCCCTGCCGATCTCCAACACGTCCAACCACCCACGAAATGTTGGACTCAAATCGACACAGGAAATCAGAAACGAGCACTTTTTGAGAAACCGGCCAACTGACTATAATAGTTCCGACTAGTCTCGCATCTGGAGCGCCATCAGGTGACGTGCTCCTTCTCTCTATCTCTCTCTCTGCTGCGGAGTGCTGCCCCTCCGGGGCCCACGTGACCCTAGACCTAGTAGTAGTGACTAGTATAGTGGTAGTGCCTCTACAGGACAGGACATGATGTGTGTGTGTGTGTGTGTGTGTGTGTGTGCATGCATGCGTGAGTGTGTGTGTGTGTGTGTGTGCGCATGTGCGTGTGTATGTGTGCGTGTGTGTGTGTTGTGTGTGTTGTGTGTGTGTGTGTGTGTGTATGTGTGTGTGTGTGTATGTGTGTATGTGTGTGTGTGCGTGTGTGTGTTGTGTGTGTTGTGTGTGTGTGTGTGTATGTGTGCATGTGTGTGTGTGTGCGTGTGTGTGTCTGCACAGTCTAGCTGGTCCGCATTAGCGTGTTGTCACCATATTCCGCGGTATGACAATCTGCACGCGATCTAAAACCAGTGTCTTGTCAAATTCCAGCATGAACTCTGACAATCCAGGACGGTTCTGAGTTCTTTATCCACATGCACATCGTGGAAAACGTTGGCGTGATGCGAGCCAACAGGACAACACAGCACAGCACCTGTAGCGTCTTTGGCTCTCAGGGAAGCAGCATTAATTTTCGCTCTGACAACATCATGTATTTCACTCTGACAACCACGTGTAAGAACATGCGTCACAGGGACTGCGCCAAACCTGGCTCCCCAAGCCACGTGTGCCAATAATATGTTTATAATAACATGAGCACTCTACTTGTCTACATAACATAATTGCATGTCCAGCATGTAGTTTGTTGTGAACGTGTCCTTCACAGGCGTGTCGACATACAGTGTCATTCTCGAAAAACCAGCACACGAAGCACAGAAACTATAATAATTTTTCGAGGCATTGCATGCGCGAGTGCGAGCAGGTTTGCTCTTCGTGGTATGTTGAGGCAGTACAGACGTACAGTAAGCAAATCTACCCGTAGAATCCCGCGGATAAGCCCATGCTCGCGCATAAGCCCAGGGACAGTTGGAACCAGGGAGTAGTAAAATATATGCATTTTACTACTCCCTGGTTGGAACATCACAAAGCTTCATCGTACAACTACAAGCTGGGCCGTAGCCGTGGGCCTCATCGCACCAAGAGTCCATAAATTATGGACTCTTGGTCGTACTATGTAGGTTTTTTGTACAACACAATCATGGGTTGTTTTCGATTGCACTGTGGGGGAGTGTGGCTTTCATCGAGGTACTTCTCACTTCCTTGATACTTTTCAATGCGCACGTTTGGTGTCAGCGTGCGCGTATAAGCCCATGCCCGCGTATAAGCCCATGTTCTTGTATAAGCCCACCGAAATGTCCTTGCCACGGTGAAACAGATAAGCCTATGCCTATGGGCTTATCCGCGGGATTCTACAATCTGGACGGAAGTCGAAGCCTCGGCACGCATGTATGGTGTGGATTTCCACAGTATGCCAATCTACGTTCAAAGCGCAAACCGGACAATGAATGGGAGCTCCTCAAAAATCATTTCACCTACTATAGTATAGCAGTTCTGTTTTGAATCGTTCCCAATGGCCAGCTCTTCGGGCCGGAGGAGCCAGTTCTCCACTGAGCACCTAGTCCCGTCCAAGTATTTGCTGTGTGGCGTGAACCAGTCCGAGCATGTCTTAGGGCGAGGTGCGTACGGAGTGGTGTTTCCAGGGGATTGGCGTGGCACTCCGGTAGCGATAAAACGACATCACCCCATTCTCGTCCTCGATGAATATGGGCAGTCCTCGATATTCTATCGACGATTTCTGCAAGAGTTTCCGATGTTGAAGGAGTTGCCGCATCCGAATATTGTTCAGGTGTTTGGCATGGTGGCAGCGACTGGACCTCATGACACACCTGGATTGGTCATGGAGTGTCTTTCGCAGACATTGCGAAAACGTTGCAGTGTTCAGCCAGCGTTATCGCTGTTGGACAAATGCAGCATCGCTCAAGGTGTATCTTCTGCCTTGGATTATCTGCATAGTCGCAGTTTCATCCACAGGGATCTGACGACCAACAACATAATGCTGTGTGAGGTGGTTGAAGCTGGGGATGTGCAGCTGAAGGCAAAGATTACAGACGTTGGTGGAGCTGCAGAGCTGGATGACAGGACACAGGCGCAGATGATGACAATGAATCCTGGAGCCCAGACGTACATGGCACCAGAGACCCATGGTGTATCCAATGAGCCTGGCCGGACACAGTACGGTACTCCTGCCGACTGTTACTCGTTTGGTGTGTGCCTGCTGGCCATGTGTGTAGGCAGGGAGCCTCCCAACATTTTCACACTGGCACGCGAGGGAAGAGCGAGAGATCTCCAAGATCTTGGATCTGACCATCCGCTTCATGGCATAATCAGCAGGTGTTTGAAAGTGGATCCTGCTCATCGTCTGAACGCGTCCTCCATTTGTGCTAGTTTCGGAGCAATGACTAAGATCATTCGCAGGCAGCAGCAGCAGCAGCAGCCTGCAGCCAGCAGTTCCACAGCTGGAGGTACGCAGATAAACACGAGTGAGCCGTCTCCCGACCAAGCCGAGATTGCACATCTGCGTCAGGAGCTGCAGGAGCTGCAGGAACTGCAGGAGCGTGAAGAGCGGCAGCGGGCCACGGCTCTGCAAGCTTTGCAGGATCGGACGGCCCTGTTGGCAGAAAGAGACGAACTGCTGCGTGATGCTGAACAGCAGCTGGCCACGGCTCAGCAAGCTGTGCAGGATCGGACGGCCGTGTTGGTGGAGAGAGATCAACTGCTGCATACCATTCAAGAGCAGCTGACCGCGGCTCAGCATGCTGTTGAGGATCGGACGGTCCTGCTTGCGGAAAGGGATGAACTGCTGATGGAGCGGGGTGCAGCTCCACAGCTCAGCGCTAGTGCCGAATCAGCAGACATGCAAAATACAAGAGAATTACTGGTGCATCTTGCATCCATGGAAGGAGAGTTGGGCGAGCTGTCTCGCTGTTCACTTCTCCTTGGTCCACCAGACGTGCCAACACATGAAACCCATCCAAAAACTGTGGTAAGCTTTTTTTTAATGTACTAATTCTTGTGATGTTTTCTGTTAAAAGTAGGGGTCAAACGGGTGTACATTGTACCTTTAACAAACGAATGGGTAATTTTCTTAAAGGGGAAGTTAAGGCAAAAATTAAAATTTCACCAGTTGTAGTCTTCGGGGTGCTGAGTCGAATGGTCTTGGTCCGAGGAAGCTGAGACGCTCCCTTCCTACTTGAATCCCAATCGAACTCGCGCACTTCCACCGAAACTGGGTGACTGCGCCCTACTAGATGGGGATTTGTATGCAAAATGTCACTAAAAGCGCCATTTCGTTCTTATAAAAGCACGGATGACCGCGATTGGCCCATATGTTGTAGTCTTTTGGACGCTGAGTCGACTGGTTTTGGTCCGAAAAGGCTGCGATGCAGCGTTCCTCCTTTATTCCCAATCGAACATGGTTGAAGAAGCGGTCACGTGGTCCTGGGTGCCCAAATCACCTGGTCACCACGCCAGCAGGTGACAACTTTCACACCAAGGTTCAACTCGAGTTCAACTCGAGTGACAGGACTGCACCCAAAAAAGGTCAAACAGGCTAGTAAGTTGTACCCTGCAGGCACGGTGACCAGCTGACTGGTGTACGCAGGAGCACGTGACCGCTTCTTCAACCATGTTCGATTGGGAATAAAGGAGGAACGCCGCATCGCAGCCCTTTCGGACCAAAACCAGTCGACTCAGCGTCCAAAAGACTACAACATATGGGCCAATCGCGGTCATCCGTGCTTTTATAAGAACGAAATGGCGCTTTTAGTGACATTTTGCATACAAATCCCCATCTAGTAGGGCGCAGTCACCCAGTTTCGGTGGAAGTGCGCGAGTTCGATTGGGATTCAAGTAGGAAGGGAGCGTCTCAGCTTCCTCGGACCAAGACCATTCGACTCAGCACCCCGAAGACTACAACTGGTGAAATTTTAATTTTTGCCTTAACTTCCCCTTTAATAACAGGAGGGTTAAAGGGTACCTTCAAGAGTACATGCCCCCCAGAGTGTGCAACGCCTGATCCAGCTCTGCATAGGATCTTCTGATGTCATGCGTACACTCTACACCAGTGCAAGGCCGGTCGCGAGGCAGGGCACCGCTGTTTTTGATCCGAGACTACCCACGAATCCCCGGGTTCTCCTCATGTGCTGAAGACGTTCGCCATAATGTGAACTGATGCAGCTACGTAATCTTGTCGTGGTTCATGGATTTGTGTTATTAGTTTGCTTTCATGTATGTGCCTTGACATCTTCGAATTGCGTAATTATTCTCAGAATTTATTGTTGTATTTTAGTATAGCGTTTGTAGTTTAGACATATTGTTGCGTCGATACAATTCAGTTCTCCTTATTAGTATCGCGCTAGTTGTATGAATTACAAAGTAGCAGTCGAAATCTATTCTCTAGTCGGTTGAGTAATAGACATTCGTTCCACAGGAATTGCCATAATTATCGTTGTGCAGATTCTCACCTGATTTTGTTCGTTCCGCGTTCCATAGTTTTTCTATTCTACGCCCCGCAGTTTCTGACAGGGTTTGTCATCACCCGTTGGGGTGTTGCCACTCACTGGCAGATTGATAGACATATTTCACCAGCACAAATTCTCTGCACAGCAAGTATTTCAAGTACTTCGTTCTCTTTTCTTTACAATTCACACTTGAATTTTTGTTTCTCTTGTTTTCTTGCTTCTGCACTGATGCAGCGTTTCATATCTTGATTTCCTCAAACGCCTCGTAGCGTATCGCAATCCCGTAGTCGAGTACCGCGATTCCGGACGCGACGCCGTATTTGCCGCATGCATTCGTCACGTGTTTATGTTTTTGGGCACTGCATTGCACATTGCAATATTGCACTCTGCACGAGTACAAACCCGTACGCTCTTTTGTTTTTTTGCTGTCGATCGAGCGTATCGGCAAAACTCGTGGTGAGCTTGCCAGAGATTTTTTAGAGAAGAATGGCGACGTTCGTTGAGTTTCGAGTCTTCCTTGTTGCGTGCTAGCCAACCGATCTTTAGTCCGTTACGGGATGATAAACCTCCGTAACACCTCAGACGTGTACGGTATTATAACGCAAAGATCCGATTACGCTCGACCAAGACCCTATGCAGAGCTGGATCAGGCGTTGCACACTCTGGAGGGTAACTTATGTACTCTTGGTACACTTTAGGAGCCATATTTAATTTTTACGCAATTTTCACATAAATCAAGACTTTAATTTATCTATGGTGAAAAAAGGAGGACAAAATGTTACGAGTTATGACTAACTGTCCACCAACGTAACCAGATCTTATACATTCAGCGAGTGCGGCAAAATGGCACAAAACTGACAAGGAGTACTGAGACATTCAGCGACCTGACACCTAGCTCCAACACTTCTCCAAGGCGCAAACCAACAACCTTCCAACTTGGAAGGCTCAGGTTCGGAAAGGTCCAAGAGGGGAAGGAAAGCGTAACGAAGAAGAGCACGTTGGTGGACAGTTAGTCATAACATTTTGTCCTCCTTTTTCCACCATAATTTAACTGGCTTACCATCCGAGTTAAACTTTAATTTATCTGTTCTCCGGTTGCATTTTGATATCACATTGTGATTCGCAAATTGATTTGTGTCTGATAGTTGAAAAGGTAGATCTACTAGGTGCGAAAATGCAACACCAATGCAGACATCCAGCGTGGAGTTGTAAATAATTGACTCCCGCCTAGAATGCACGATCCCAGCAGTGCTGTTTCGTACTGACTGGATCATCGAAATCCAAGCGGGTACCCTTTTACTAACGGTACTGGAGATAAACGGGCGGGTACCTGGGAACCCGGTACACCCCTTTGACCCCTAGTTAAAGCAAGTATTGGTTTGTTTGTGTTTCTATTTGTGTTTTTTCTTTTTCCTGTATTCCAGTGGAAGACTATTGGGAAGCTCCCAATTCCAGAAGGACATCTATCAGTAGTGGCTTCTCTGACATGCAATGATGGTAGGATCACTGGTGCACTGCTGTCTAGAAGACACCGGCCCAATTGGAGGATTGTCAGCGCGGACGCAGATAACCTTGAGCTAACCGCCTGGGTCGATTTAAACCTGCCAGAATATGTTTGTGGTCATCCCGAAGAATCGGAAACATGCATTGTTAGGCAGCATAGAGGCAGTCTGTACTGCCTGGTAGTCCCCTCGGCCACACCAGCTATTCTCTACAAGCGCACACAAAATGATCAGTGGAGGGAATTGGCACGGTTACCCGAGTATCGCTTTAGATTTTTCGTAACTTTCTTTGACACCCAAGTGGTAGTGGTTGGAGGTTCTGCTTCTACGAACACCAGCGTCTTCGTTCCTGCTCGTTTCGACGTCATTTCCTTTGATCTGACTGAGGAAAATACAGAGTGGGTTGTTTGGCCGAACCTCCCTGCATCAGCCGGCCTGCTCTCAGCACCGCCAGCTATCGTGTATGATGGCCACCTCCATGTGTTTTGTAGTGATCACGACAAGCCAGCTGTTGCCTATACGGTCTTCTCCACACCTGTCACGCGGCCTGTGAGTTTTCGCACCTGGTCCAGCACTGCACTGCCCCATCCACCGTTCATGGAGTTCTGCCCGCTACTTTTCAACGGTTTCTTGATTTGCTTTAGAGCGAACGCTAGTTCGGGCCGGCGTGAAAATATTTTCATGCTGTCACCAAATTCCAGCCAGTGGTTTCCGCTTCCGTACACCAACACCTTGAACGGCTGTCTCTGCGAAGTTGGTAGCCGTTTGCTAGTCTTCACGCCGAGAAAAATCAGGCATCTATGCTGGGAGCCAGTAGCCAGAAGTCAACCAAGAGGACGGATGGGCTCTTTGTTACGACGGTAACTGAAGTGATCATCGTCTTTTTTTTTTGCCTTTCTACGAAGCACCGGGATGCTCGCGGGAAAAATTCATCATTGTAGTAGTTCTCTTTGCTATAAAATAATTAATACATGTATGTTTGGAAGTTGGTTGTTCCAACGAGGAATCATGCTTCTCGCCGAACTTGACACTTGACTGACTCACGACTGCCTTCCTGAGCACACGAGGGGCACGTCGCACCTTCTAAGTTCACATGTATGTTGATCATGTTAAACTATAACTTTACACTCTTAGTGTAAAAGTGTGTGCTTCTTCCAGCCAACTGGAGTTGTTTCTTGGTGGACTTTTGGTATATTATATTTATACTTCGAAGTATCTGATACTGTATTGGCTATCTAGTGCAGGCTTCAGATATCCATCTGTACGTATGTGTGCTAATAGCATTGCATGGTGTTGTCCTAGAAATATGTGCACACCTATAATTATAATACTGTATATGGGTGTGCACACCTATATATAATCCTGTAGGTACTTAGGTTCAGAACTAGGCCTTGACGGATGATGCTAGCATAATTTTTCGCATAATTCCTACCAAAATCGAATAATCGCATAATTCGAGGCAAATTGCATACGAATCGCATAAAATTGTAATAATCCGCCTGTTCGCATCAAATTCCATACAGTTGTTGTACATGTTCCACAAGTACAAATACAAGTACATTGAAGATGCACCAGGAAGTTGTAGGTTTACGACTCCCTTGAATGAACATGTCCTGTCCACTACAATCAGTGATGGCAAGAGTACATAACCCCAAGACTAGAGTGTGCAACTCCAGCTATGGGGTCTGCGACGGCAGAACTTCACATCACGTGATGAACCCGTGCACTAGGGCTGACCCGAATTTGCCAGCTGAATCTCGATATTTTGCGGCATAATTTTGCTCGTGCATCGTCGAAATTTTGCTTTCATTTTGCTAGGCCACTCGATATCTTGCTCCCTTTTTGCTCCAAAATTTGTGTCACGTGTGAGAAAACTGACCGAAAGTGGGTTACGTGTTGGCAAAAATGAGAAAAAGTGAGTCACGTGTTGGTAAAACTGTGCCGAAATGAGTCATGTGCACCGTATATGTGTAAAATCTCCCAATTCCCAGCCAACACACAGATATTTTGCTCCATTTTGCCAGCAAATTCCCTTTCAAAATTCTTCGATATTTTGCTAGAAGAATTGCTAGCAAATTCGGGTCTGCCCTACCGTGCACTCTGTGCATGATAGACACTGGGTTGTACGCAGCCCAGCTTTGGCTACAACTCTCTTGTGGTCACTTTGCACTGTTTGCCAGCATAACCTTTTAATTAAACCATGTCACGTGATGTGAAGTTCTGCCGTCGCAGCACAGCATAGAGGTTGTGCAGGCAGTTGCACACTCTTGGGGTTATGTACTCTTGGTGATGGTCGTAGCTAGGTCGGACGGTGCGTTGACCCCGTTGAACTTTTGCTACTACAGTACAACGCCCTCTACAAAAAAATCCCCTGTTATTTTGCACAGAACCATTATGCATTAGCAGCATATGTGAGCATAATGGGGCATAATATGATAACTTTTAGCATAAAAAATAGCATAATTCTGCAATTTTTTCAGCAATGCGAAAAGCATATTTCACGAAAATATTAGCATAATCCGTCAAGGCCTATTCAGAACAGTGCCGGAACATCTACATTCACTATTCGATTGGCTATTCCAGTGTTGGTTTCTGCTCTCTTGATCTGTGGACATTTTTTCATATCAACCCAAGTATTGCTAGTGTACCGCTCTTCATAGTCGGACATCATCTCACATGGACACCTCTTTTAAAGGCAATAATGCGGCGTGTTCTTTTGATTTCATGGCCAGCTATCTTTTTTTGTTTTGCGACACTATTAAATTTTGCCTCCCGTGCCCCGTGATCTCTTGCCTTGGTGACCAAGTGCTACATTGTATACTCAATAGGGACCGGCGGATTCTGCTCAAAAAGGTGGCAGATTCTGCTCGGAAAGCTGTGAAATCGGCAGAACCATACAAACCTTATGGCGGGCAATTCCTCGAATTCTGCTCCATTTCTTTATCCACATACCAAACATGCATGAAATTTACCAGAAAAAGTACCGAATTCTGCCAATTTTTCTGCCGGCAGAATCCGCCGGACCCTAATACTCAGGGCATGTACAGCATGAACCCATGCTGCAAGTAGTTTTATCGGGTCTACGCTACCCCAGCCGTCGCTGTTCTGGACTCAGACTGCATAGGAAGTTGCTGTCAATGACATTACGTTTACAGAGCACAAATCACATGCAATTTCTGATGTGAACTCAGATGGGGAGCCAATTTAATTTTGGAAAAAAAGGAGAAGGGCAAACAATGTTACGAGTTATGACTAACTGTCCACCAACGTAACCAGATCATCATAATTATGCAGTCAGCGAGTGCGACAAAATGGCACAAAACTGACAAGGCGTATTTAAAGACATTGACCGGCCTGACACCTAGCTCCAACACCTCTCCGAGGTGAGCCTTCCAAGTTAGTTGGAAGGTTGTTGGTTTGCGACTGGGGGAGGTGCTGGAGCTACATGTAAGTGTCAGGTCGGCGAATGGCTCATGCTTGTATTCAAAACAGGCTTCTATACCGTACTACTAGTAATAGTATACGAGAAAGACTTTTACACAAGACACCACAGTTTTTTTTTTTTTTTTTTTCTACAAAATCCACATATCTCCAGACACTGGGGTGAATGATGGAGTGTGGTGGTGGGGCCCATTGAGCTCCGCCGACCAGAGGTCTCGGCTTCATAGCTCCATGGACGCACCAAAGGGATATTTGGGTAGGTAGGATTAAATTGAAAAAGAAAACAGAAGAAAGAAAATGGAAAGATTGTATTGCTCAGTGAGCAAAAGAATAAGTTGAGTATTGATGTGAACGCTGTTAGACTTTTAAATTCAAGAGGAGACTGTCTGTGAGGAGAGATTACATGTATGTCCAAGCATGGTAGGACACTGTACCCTCTTACTCGCGTATGCTATGAGTGGCCCAGTGCCAGTTCGTTCTGAGGAGATGGTGATAAGCTGCTGTCTTGAACTTTTGGATGTTCTTTGGGTGAAATGGGTGGGGAATGATAGAGGTAGGCAGCTGGTTCCAAATTGGGATGACGGAGTGGGGAAAGGCTCGGCTCACATTGTTCCGGGAATTGGCAGGAAGAACATTCTGTAACTGATGGGGATGCGCGGTGGACAGTCGTACAGCCTGGCGGGTGAGGCGTGTGGTCCTGGGTTGGTGTGTCGGTGGAGCCATTCTCGAGAGAAGAGCGGGAGAATTATCGCAAAGGGCTTTATACAGGAGGCAGAGGGCAGCGATGGTGCGGCGAATTATGAGGCTAGGAAGCCAGCATTGCGGATGTATTGCCTTGATGGCTCGCTCCTGCACCCAGTCCAGCCGATACAAGTGGGAAGGAGCTGCCCCCATCCAGACGATTGGGCAGTACTCCATAACCGGCCGGACAAAGGCTTTGTAGGCTCGAAGCCGGGCAGGAATAGTCAGCAAGTGAAATGCCTTGCGCAAGGCTCCAAGTCTCTGCGTTGCTCGGACTACAACAGTTTGGATATGCTGGCTGAATTTTAGCTGATGGTCAAACGTGACGCCGAGTACTTTGATGGAGGGCTGCTCCTCGACAGGAGTTCCATTGAAGACAATGGGGGGTATTGGCCAGTCCCGACGATGGTGGGAAATTGTAAGGGCCTGAGATTTGGCTGGCTCGAACTGCACTTTCCAATCCGAGCCCCAACTGGATACAAGGTCGACAGCAGCCTGGAGTACTCTAGCGTTGTCAGGAACAGCAGCGAGCGTTGCAATTTCGGCGTATAGGGTTGTGTCATCGGCGAATGAGGCAAGGTTGGAGCCGATTGGGAGGTGGTCTTCAAGGTCGTTGACGTAGACCAAGAATAAGGTGGGGCCCAGGATACTGCCCTGTGGCACCCCAGCCTTAACTGGGCGCCTGGCTGATGTCTGGCCGGAGATGAGGACTTGAAGTGTGCGGTTGCAGAGGTAGTCTTGGAGCCACCGATGCAGGTCTCCCGAGATGCCATACACTCTAGCCTTGTGCAACACACCAGTGTGAGACACCCGGTCAAATGCTCCAGCAATGTCGATGGCCAGCACTCGAGAAGCTCCTTTATCTCCGGCGGTGTGCACCCACTGGTGGTGGAGAGCAGTCAGCAGGTCTGCTGCACTGTGGCCGCGACGGAAGCCAAATTGCCGTTCTGACAGGACGTGATTCGTCTCCATGAAGTTGCTCATTGCCCTGTTGACTATGGTCTCCATGACCTTGGAGAGGATGCTCAGTAACGACACTGGTCGATAGTTTGATGGCGACGATTTAGACTTGCGCTTGTGGACTGGAACTACGTTTGCAACCTTCCACTGTTGTGGCTGGATGCCGGAGCGAAGACAGCATGTAAATAGTTTTGAAAGCGGCCGTGCCAATTCTGCAGAGCAAGCTTTCAAGACGCGGGCAGGTATCCCATCTGGACCAGTGGCCTTGGTGGGGTTGAGCTGGCGGAGAGTTCGCTCGACTGTGGTCTCGCGAAACCGGACGGTGCAGAGGTTGCGGTCAGTACGTGGTCGGACGTAAGGAAATGGAGCGGATAGGTCGTCTGCCCCTAGACTGCATTTGTTGGCGAAGTGTTCGGCCATGCACTCTGCTTTGCTGCGGTTGGTGTCGTGCTCCGTACCATCGGTGCTGCGGAGACAGTAGCAGTGATGCTACAGTGCTGGCAACTGAAATCCGACCCCCTGAGCGGTGGGTTTACATTCTAGCGGTCCCTGTTTCGTAGTTTTACCATCCCGTGTTGGGTCTTTGACTCTTTGCGATGCGAGCGCACCAGTCAGGGGTCGGATTTCAGTTGCCAGCACTGCAGTGTACATAATTATAGACCAAGGCAACACCTTGCAGCCACGTGCCAGATAGTGCATTCCTCTCCGGAGGATACCCTACGAGAGTCTAAGTAGAATGATGCGTGCGGAAGACGATCATTATGACAACGGGACACGAGAAACGGATTTGTTGCCCATAAATTATTCTGATTCGTGGACAGCTTGCTTGCGGCCGCTCGGAGCTCGACCACAACCAATGCACGTATCGTGATGCCCATGTTCATACACAGTAGCTGGTATTATCTCGTTGTCGAGTCAGGTTTAAACTGCGTATCATGAGCATGATTGGAGTTCTCGTAGAAAAGAGCGTCTCAACTGGTGGATGCTGGCAGCTGAGCGGTAAATCCAACATTCGAGCGTGGCCATCTTTGGATCAATAACTGAAAAAAGCCTCAGTGATAATTATTATGTTGGAAACTGAGAAGCGAATCCAACTAGCGGGATAGTGATGTTAAGTGAGCGCTAATGTTACGGGTGTGTCCGCTTAGCAATGGCGTTCTGTGACTCCGGGACACGTCACGCCGTGCGTGGTCATGGCCCACTTCTTCTACTCCTCCTTATTCCCACTTCATGCTTGCTGGCTGCGCGGGTTGTGGACATACACACACGCGATGATCGCCCACCATCCACAGCCTCCATCACCGAAGATCGGATTCGAGAAGGGCACAGTGGACGATGTTTCGTCGCTTCTGGCAACTCCAGCACATCACCGTGGTCTCAGCGTCAAACCACGATGTCTGAACGTAATGGCAACGTGCTCGTCCACCTAACACTTGACAGCAGTCAAGAAAGCCGAGGCAACACATTCATAGTGAAGCAAAACGGGAAAACGCTGTACGCTGCAAGCAGGCGGTTGCGAGTGAGGAGCCACACTCAGCACACATTCCGCCGCGGGCAAGGGCACACCGGACGGCAGCTGAGATCGGGTGAGTGCCAGCTGCTTCCCGCCTGGACGTCGGTCTGGCCACGTGACCAGTATGAGTGGCTGCTGTCTGTCTTCACAGCCACTCTGGGAAGGTGTTTGAGCACTGTCCTGGGCATTGTGGTTCCGTTACTGGTGGTTGTGATGCTGCAAACACTTTGCACTCGCCTTTTGGACGACCTCTGCTGCGACTAACCTACAGTCCATTCATTTCTTTTGAAGTTCGGAACTTTGACGGTGGCCATGTCATCTTCACACTTCACCTCCAACCCGTAACACACGAACAGTCCTTGGCTACACTACGTGACAACGATTGTTTCCAAATGTTCACGGCATCAGTCCATTCATACAAAATATCCCCGCTGGCTTTTGAAAGCCCGATCTTAGCCGAATTGATATTCAAAAACCCACTTTAAACTAGAAAATCTAGGTTTTGAATCTGTTTTTTTCCAGAATTTTTTCCATGGTATACCTACCTGTCCTAATTTTGTAAAACCTGGCTGAGTTTCTAATGTCCTGTCCTTGGACTTTCCTGGCCTCAACTGTGGCAAGGAATAATTGCACAGGTCACACAACGCAGGATGTTGTTTTCGCGATCTCTACAAAAACGTGGGAGACGATGAAAATTTAGGGTACCAATTTCCTATGAATGGACTGCATACAGCATGGTCAAGTTTTGATCTCAGTCATTTGCACCAAGTCCTTGGCTACACACAAAAGTCAGATTCAGAATCTTCGATTTTTTGCCAACAACTGGCATACTGGTGTACAATTACCCCGAGTAATGACACTACAATTGACAAAAATCCGGCAATGTATTCTAGCACACCAGATCCATGTTAGAACTGAGATGTTGAATATTTGCCATAATTACGTACGCAAGAAGGTGGCTGAGCCAAGATCCAATGTTAGCAGCAATCTTCTTAATTATTACACAAAATATGTTTAAAAAAGAGAATCTGAGTGAATAGTGAATAGAGCACACCGTCGCATCATGTGCTCAATGTCAGACCAGACCAAACAGTTTCTTTCCCCATCCAATAATGGTGTCAAGGTCGGGTGGTGTCTTGAGCACCGTGCCCTTGTCCAGGCCGAGTTGCAGCCACTGCTCGGCCGTCATCAAGTCGCCGCACACGTCCACGGTGGCTTTGGCCGAGGGCGCGTACACCAGGTTGTTGCCGGTGCGGAACGACAGCGTCTCCGGCTGCGTGACGTTGCACGCCGGCTTGAAGCGGTACATGTACTCGCCGGGCACTCCGCGCAGCACGCACGTGCAGTTCACGTAGCTGTCGGCGATCGACGCGTTCAGCGCGTTCTGGAAGACGCTGAAACAGGAGTACTGATACACCTGCAGAACAGGTTCGACACAGAACAGGTTCAGAACCAAACGATACAACGCACTGGGGTCATCCTTCTCACATAGACAATACAGCAGAACAGAACAGGTTCAGCAACAGATGATAAAACATGCTCCGGTCAAACCGCTCTCACATAGCCAATAATGCAGAGCAGGTTAGAGGTAAAGCATGTGAGGGCAATGAAATCATCCCCCACCGGGAGCACACAAAACGTATCTGATTCCTCAAGGTCATAACACAATGTTCAAAACAAAATGATGGCAGACAAGTACGGAGAGTCCCTTCTGTATGCACATATAAACACATAATGCATTCACAGGTGCACACACGCACACACACGCACAGTCGCAAACGCCCATCTAAGCGCGAACCTCAAACATCATGGCATGACGTATCTCAACGTTGGCATGCCAGCTGTAACACGCCAGCGCATCCTCACGTACATCACTGCCGCGCAACATGCAAAACACAACATGCAGGTACGTACCACCGGATAGATATTGTAGTTATTCGACGAGATCTTGTCATGGCCGCCAAAGTTTGTCTTATGCCCACCGTAGACCAGGTAGTTGTCGCTGTGATGGTAATACGAGCTGCCGTCATCATTGTCCAAGCACAGACTTGAGCCGTAGTTGCAGAGCAACAGGTTATGGTGGACGACGTTCATTGCCGGGTAGACTGTTGGCTTCTCCGGATTCGGCACGTCGGTGAGAAACGGCTGCCGGTCCCAGGAGTTGAACGGTGCATGGTCGGAGCTCTCGCGGCACATGTTGAAGAGAACATTGTCCTCCATGTCGTTGCCGCCGCCAAAGCCGTCGTTGATGTTGATGCCGGCACGCGGTCCGTTGAAGCAGATGTTTGTACGCAGTGTGGTCTGCGCCGACTTGGCTTGGAACCAGCAGCTGGACTGTTTCTCGTAAAGGCCGATCTCGTGGATGAAGTTCTGCTCGATGTGATTACGACGCGGCTGTTCACCGGACGTGCCGTCGATCAGATTCGTGTAGCCCCACGCGGCCATTGCCGTGTCTCCAATCAAAGTGAATTCATTGTTACTGATCATACTGTCATGGACAAATCCAGACAGGAACAATCCGTTGCCGTCTAGATTCTTGAAAACGCAGTTCTCAATCGTAAGCAGTTTTGTACCTTCGGCAAACACCGCACCGGATCGTTGTAGACCCCAGTCTCCACCGGACGGCACGCCGTGTGGATCCATGTACGTGTAGGCTGCTGTTGTCATGACAACATTCCTCAGGGTAAAGTTGATAACCGGATCGTCCATAGAACCAGTGATGCTGATGAGAGTTTTCAGGTTGGCAGCAACAAACTGGAAGTCTTCAGGTGGAGGTCCTGTGCCGTTGTGGAAATAGTATAGTTTACCAGAGTCTGGATTATAGAAGTACTCATTAGGGTGATCAAGCTCTTCGAAAACATTTGCCAACCACCACTCAGAGCCCTCCGCGCTTCCCCGCGCTCCTTGAAATCCTCCTCGGGAGAATGTACTTTTCCCGGATTCCGGGTCGAAGTCCTTGAAATCGAACATCCACGAGGACCAGTGGTGCGGGCGCCACGTGTGCAGCACCGCCGTTTTCTTGAACAACTCCGCGTCGTAGGTGGCAAGACGCGGTAAGTAGAGCGGCTTGAAGACGATGCCCGATGGTGAGAGGAATGTAAATGCTCCACCGCCGCTGGGCTCATCGGAGCACCAGTAGGACTCGGGCGGCGTGAAGATGTCGCACGGGCCATCAATGCCGATGCGGAAGTTCTGGAACAGCGGGTTCAAGTCATCCGTGGGCTTGTCGATGGTGATGAACGTCGAGTTTCCCTTGTCGACAGGAGGAACCCAGTCCACTCCACCCGGCACCCATCCGGCCGGGAAAAGGGTCGTGTCTGGGCTTGCAATGTTCGGGTAGCGTGCACGATTGGCCTGGAAGAAGTTCCCGGCTTCGGCGTCTTCTTTTGTTTTGGCAATGAACATACCGAGCTGCAGGTTTTCCGGCGCTTGGCCCGTGACGTCGGCAACGTAGATGTTGGTCCCATCGTCCCAGTAGCCACTCGTGTCCGTCATGGAGACGTGAGGCGCCCACCACTGGTCTGTGTGTAGGTAGCATCCCTGGCTCCAGCCAGTCGCGTCTGCCTTGTGCCAGGTCCACGAGAAACACTCGCCGTACTTGCACTGACCCTCGCACTCCTCACTGCTGGCAAACGTCCCCACGTATCTGTGCAGCAAAGAGTCAAATACAAAAAGCCAGCCGTGGTTCCAGGGCTGTAACCCAGGGGTGCGAAAAAATACGATGGCAAATTGTCTTCTAACATAAATGATCATAAGGGGTCGTCCGTATTTTTCGAAAAATTAAAAAATCCGTCCTCAGGCAGAAAGGGGGTGGGTGGTCAAGAGCGCTGGCGGAATTTAATTTTTTGATTTTTCGTACCTTTTTTTCCGTCAGTGACTCATACACTCGTTGCACTGACTCGTAGTGCACTGTAGCTGTAGACGTAGTGTAGGATCGCAAACACCAGTATGATATACCGGTACATGACTTTTTTTGTGGTTGTAGGATGTGCATGGCCTTCGGTAGACCTCCTACTCACTTTAGCTACTAGTACTTGACATACATACGTCATGTACATGTAGGTGCGATCACTGAATCAGTGAACATGGGGTCAGTTCTTATTTTCGAGCTGGGCATCGGTAAAAATCAAAAAATTAATGGGAAAAAATGGGGGGTGGGTGGGTGGGTCAGAGACAATTTTGCACGAGGACGGATTTTTTAATTTTTCGATAATTACGGACGACCCATAAGTAATCAGATGGTGAGTCAAGGAAAATCTTTTAAAAATTGAAACAAGGAAAATGGTGGGACACAAGCTATGTCTCAGAGACTCAGTATTCCTTGTCAGTCTGGTGCTACCTTGTGCACGTCTGACGTGTGCGGCTTGTTGTTTATTTATGCTCACCCGAAATGCGTGTGAGCTGCATGATAATGCATTCTTGCAGGTTTGCGAGAGGAAAGCTCGATGGACTTTCCCTGTGCGCTCTGGATAACAGACATGAGCCAGTCAAGTGGCAAGTCATGGCTGCGGGGCTGATTGCCTCCCCCGTGTATAGGGAGCAGTCCTCTCCACTAGTGACTGCGTTCATCCCCGGGATGCCCACAGGATCAACTCAACATGTACACATGTACGCATAGAGGTGATACGAGTATCATTTCACGGTGGATTTTCTAATGTGCACAACGCATGCAGCGTGAGTCAGCAGATTTTTAAATGTTAATGTGAGTCGCCAGTGCAAGTGCAGCGCTGTGCCGTGAGTCCACAACTTCCCCACCACATCTCTACTGATTATGTATTCGCATACCAGTAACCTTATTAAGGTGAAAAGGCATAGTGGTGGCCTGCGGACGCGAAGGCTATAGGCTGTGTGTTTCTGAACGTTCAATTGATGCTCGCGCACATCCCGGCGCGAATATTATAATTATCATACCGGTAACCTCCATACAGTAAATCTCGTGAGTACATTATCAAAAATCGACCGAGGGTATAACAACAGTTCGCGAGTAACAACCCAATCTTCAGACACGTAGCGACCCTTGTCTGCATAGCTTACTTTCACTCTTACAAATAATGACAAGATGCGGAAAATGACACTTTTCTCATGCATGATCGTGGGTCACTATTCACAAGGTTGACCGAATTACGGATTTAGGGCAATCTTTCCAGAGTAGAGTCAGCTTGGCGTATAACGACACTCGGCGGGGCATCAGAAAAGTGTCCTTATTCGCGAAGTGCCCTTATACCCGAAGTCTCATTATATGTATACAGTTAGATGGGACTTTGCTCTGGGCATGGAAATTCTGTCGTTATTCGCGAATTGTCGTTATATCCGCAGTCGTTATTTGCGAAATTGACTGTACTTACTTGATGGTGGGAGAGCTCTGGCCTGGTCCTGGTGCAAGTCCCCACACGTTGTCAGCTCCTCCCTGTATGATCATTTGTGGAGCGTGCTGGGATACGTTATATGGCTTCCACTGGGGTGCGAGAGGAAGTCCTCCACTCAGCACTACCGTCTCTCCAGGTGCAGATTCAATGATTGTACCGCTGTCCTGTACGTTCACTTCCACCGTGGTATTTAGATAGTGAATTCCAGAACGCAGTACTATGCCCACGCTGATGTCTGCAGCTCGTGAGCCAGGGTTCTCGTCTAGCTGCTGCCGTCGGTACGCCCGAGTGTGTGCCAGTGCCTGATGCAGCGTCCTGAACGGAGTGCGCGCATCGCTTGCATCCGTGCTGAAGTCATCCCCGACCTTCGCATCCACATACACACGATACTGGACTTGGCTCAGCTTGTCGTTCAGTGGTGGTGCTAGCCTCTTCTTCTTCTGATGTTGCTGGTCCGTGCGTCGCTGCTGCTGAACTGAAATGTCAGGGTTAGGGTTGAATGGTTTGTGACATAGCGTGGTCAATTGGAGTGCATCCCAAACGTTCTTCATCGGTGCACGATGCGGCTGTAATGAGAGACTGTAGTTGTAAACCAGATAGCGTGCTTCGCAGTCGAAATCGGCCGGCACATCCTGCGGAGCACCATTGTTGCCGATGCGACGGAGCAGCTCGAATCCGTCATAATTCACCGCCTCCTGATGGTAGCCAAACTCGGCACCCTCTGTCACCACCAACCCGACCAACAGGCACGAGAAGACGAGGACTTGACCATCCCTCACGGTAAGAGATAACATCATGCCGATCTGAACGACGGGAAGCCGGAGTCGTACTCACTCAGAAGGATAAACCTCTCGCAGTCTCCCTCTTCGCATGCCGCAGTTTGCGATCCTTGCAGTAATTTGTTTGATTCAATCTCCGGCATGTCAAATACCACAGTGACTCAGAAATACTTGAGGCAGATTTTGATTTCGGATTCGCTGCTCTCAAACCATGCACAATGACATTATTTATGTCAATGATTATGTAGATATCTACCAGGGAGTCATAAAATACCGGTATTTTACTACAGTCAGACCTCGCATAACCGCACACATCTGTTTTCCACAAAAATATCCGGATAGGCGAGGGAACTGGATAACCGAACACCGTTTATGTTGGATGCATCACGTATGCTGTAAATATGTAAGGCCAAACTAAAGAAGGTGTGTGGTTCGACTCACCCGACCGACCGTACAATTTCAGCCCGACCGTAACTTTTTTTCGGCGGGCTGTCGTGTGACTGACGTACGTGGACTGAACACGTCCACGTCTACGTGCTGTGCGGCGTGAGTCTGCGGACGCAGGCGGCTCCTTTTGGACTTGACTTGTAGTTGTACTGCAGTGCAGTGCAGTGAGTGGTACGACTGCTGCCTTGTGCTGGTAGTAGCAGGGAGCCCTACACATACCGGTATGTGTAGGGCTCCCTGGGTAGTAGAGTCTACTCGATACGCGTATACAGTGTATTTACATGTACTAAAAATATATATTAAAAAAAAAAAAATCCGCCCGCCCGCCCGTTAAAAAAATGTCCATGTTAGTCGAACCACACACCTTCTTTAGTTTGGCCTAACCAGCTATTTTCTTCCGGATGGCGAGGGATCCGGATAATAAAAGAGGACCGGATAAGCGAGGTCTGACTGTACTCCCGGTCTCTACCATGCATGTACAGTAGGTATCGGTTATAGCGTGGGTGTTTGAAAAACGACTTTCTATTCTTATTTCCGATATTTCTTACACACGATAAATCAAGTGTGGTATATCACATGCATGTGCGCAGAGGCAGGAAGATCATCGTACATACAACGCAGTACTTCTGTGCATATGGTTGGTCACAGTCACATAGGCTTACCATGTGGCTATGCAAAATGAGTTACATGATCACAACAGTTGAATCTGCAGCACTACGACGCAACGAGAGTCAGATCAGAACGGACGGATACTATTACTACAGGCGATACACTTTGTACTAATCTGGTATGTTTCGCTACACAAAGTCCATTCTTAGGACCGATATATTCTACTATGGGATAAAATTGCTTGTAAGAATAAATGTGCACTTGAAATCCGTGTTATGATTATGAAAACATGAGAGTTCATTCTTGTAGGCAGTATATTCTTTTACACCACCACGCTATAACCGATACGCACTGTACCAGTGAACTGGTCAACTAAACTTCTGCTGGTACCACGGTGACCCTGGGCGGTGATCGATCCCTGCAGATCTCTGCACTCTTGATATACAATGTATGAGTTGTGTACGAGCACAACTAAGTAGTTAGTTACTTTATTGATAGCCTGAAAGACGTTCGGAAATGATGAGAATCCTAGTTTTCTAGAAAGTATTGGGGCATGTTCAATTGGTAGGATCGGGATCCAGATCTCAGATCCTTCAGAGTCAACCGAACACTTTTTTTGGACCTTGACTGTTGCCATGTTGACGAATTATTAAAATGGTGCTCACAGGTCACCCAAAAGGGTGAAAGTTGTACTCACCGCTCGCGTCGTACGAAAAGTCAACAAGAGTATCTCGATCCACGTGTGTGCGTACCACAATCTGTACAAACAGTCAAACAGGATTTTTACCCGCCACGCACGAAGGTCACATTAATTTTGGATCCGTTGGATCGGGTCAACCCTGCTCCCCAAGGTGGGTTGACCAGATCCAAATCCAAAAGATCTGGATCCGGATTCGACCAATCGAAAGGGTGCGAATCCAGTGGATCCGTTTGATCTGGATCCCGATCCTACCAGTCGAACATGCCTTTGGTCTCCGTGGGCCACTTTCTTCTTCTTTTTTTAAGGAAAAAGAAATGTCTGCTGTTGAATGGGTCAAGCAGCAAAACACAACAGGGTACTGAGCATGAGGTATACACGCTCCGATTTAAAAAAGACGACCCCTAGTATAGCTCGAAAATTCTCGTTACGGTTTTATATTGGAAGTGCCCAATACCGGGGCAGTATTCATGAGAGTATTAAAGTAGGTTATCAAATAGGGGACTGTCATTGTCAAGCCATATGGCAAGTCCATCTACATGTGATGTACATTCACATGTACATGTACACAGTCTGCACATTTATAAATGCAGCACAGACTACAGCATAGTACAGCACAGTACAGTACAGTACGGAACTGTACTGTACTGTACTGTACTGTACTGTACTGTTACCGTTCACAATTGAACCAGAAGAGTCACACGCTCGTCTTGATGTCTTCGCCGGGAAAGTACTTCCTCAGGCGCACGTCGCCAGCGCGGGCGTGCGCCTCCATGCCCTCGAGGCGAGATATGCGCGCGGCCGCCGCTCCCACTTCGCGATTGGCCTCTCGTGTCATGCGTTGCGTTGTCACCACCTTGATGAACTTGTGCACGGACAGGCCGCCGGTGTAGTGCGCGGCGCCCTTGGTCGGCAGGATGTGGTTCGGCCCGGAGCACTTGTCGCCGTACGTGACCGTCGTCTCCTCGCCGACGAACAGCGAGCCGTAGTTGCGGAGGCGCTGTGCGTACCACTCGTTCTCGCCCGTCTGCACCTCCAGGTGCTCGGCGGCGTACTGGTCGGACACGGTTGCCGCCTCGTCGCGAGTGTCGCAGACGACCACTTCGCCGTAGTCGCGCCAGCCCACGGTGGCCGCGTCGCGATTCGGCTCAGGCAGGTCGGCGATGAGGCCGTCCATGTGGCCCAGCACGTCCTCCGCCAGCTGCCGACTCGTGCTGATCAGCCAGCACGGCGAGTCGGGCCCGTGCTCGCCCTGCGATACCAGGTCCTGGGCGACAATGGCCGCATCGGCACTGCCGTCGGCGATGACGGCAATCTCCGTCGGCCCGGCGACCATGTCCATGCCGCACTGGCCGAACAGCTGGCGCTTGGCTTCGGCGACGAAGCGGTTGCCGGGACCGACGAGCACTTTGGCAGCGCGGCCCGTGAACAGTCCGTACGCCATAGCGGCTATGCCCTGCACCCCGCCCAGCACTAGTATGGTGTCCGCGCCGCACACACTCATTGCATACACGATAGCCGGACTGGCGCCGGATTGGTCGTGCGGTGCCGTGCACGCTACGATGTGCTCCACACCCGCTACCTTAGCGGTGACTATAGACATTATCGCGGAGGCTACGTGGGAGTAGCGGCCACCTGGCACATAGCAGCCGGCTACGTCGATCGGGATCAGCTTCTGCCCGGCCCAGAGACCTGGCGACAGCTCCGTTTCAAACGACTGAATCGAGTCGCGCTGCGCCTGGGCAAACTTGCGTACACGATCGATGGAGAACTGAATGTCGGCCTTGAGCTGTTCCGAAACGGTGTCGGCTGCCGCTTCAATGCGCTCCTTGCTGAGCACGATGTCGCCCTCGTACTTGTCTAGATCCTTGCCATACTGTATAGCTGCCTGCTCCCGACCGGCTTCGATCTTCTGCAGCATTGCACGCACTATCCGGCTCGTCTCCTCGCTGCCGCTCTGCGGCGTCTTCTGCGCCTTCTTCAGGTAGGTGACAGGCATGGTGAGTGCGGGCGCGGGGGTGCGTGCGTGTGCCGGCGTGTGGAACTGCTGCTCCGTTAAATCCTGTATCCAGACTCACTGAATGCTGCAAACTACTGGCCGGGATCCAGCGGCTGGCTCATAACACGACAATTACTGCGAGCTCTCTCGTCGGTTTTTCGCACATTCACGGCGCGCTGGGAAAGATTGCTCAGCTATGGTCGCTCTGCTGCCTGAACAATACCTGCCCTGCCCGTCGCTTTATGGAACACAGATCGGTAATGTGTCGCAAATAAAAGAAAACTCCAAGGCCAGTGAAAGATAATGAAAATGTCAAAAACGATGACTTCTTTCACCTTTTATAATTATTTCACTTCATTCTCCCCCTGGCCTGTCACTTCACTGTCTTGAGTGTCACTGAGTGACTCTCTGTCTTTTTTCAAGTCTTTAGCAGGGCTCTCCACCACCAGACTCTCTACTTCTCTGCCAGACTCTGGTCCTGGAAAACGCCTACAAAACAAGATTGGTGTAGATGGTGTGTAGACGTAGACCAACATCATCTACATGGTGTAGGCCAGGCCCAGGGGGAGTATGTACCGGTAGAGTGTAGAGACTGTAGTGTAGCCTGTAGCCTCAGTGTACATGGTGTAGGGGTGCGTGTGGTGTGTGAAGGCTGGTGAAAGATGAGGGGAAACCCCATACTTGCATTCGCAACACTGCACACGCCACGGCACGGCATCGGACAGACTCAACTCTCAAGTCGGAGCCAAGCAATGCCAAGGCAAGTACTTTGACTTGTATTGGTAATTATTGGGACGTTGGGTCCCGACTAAAGTAAGTTGATCGAGTTGAGTCTTGCAGCTTGAGCCTCGACTTGAGACATCGACGTACTCGTGCGTTGCGTGAGCGCAGATATTATCGAACGCAGGGATGATGCCACTGCACTGCCCAGTCTGGTACAAACGGACCAAAGCCTTTTTTAGTACTGGTTGGCTTAGTCCGGACATCGACGACCGTTATGATAATGCAATCATGCAGCGCTGGCCTAGCTGGGTTGGTCAACGGTGACAACAGTGGCAACAGCCAGTAGAAGGGTGCCAAGCCAAGGTGGGCTGGACGACGCCGTTGATAAAATTTTAGTTGAAAAGTGTCACGGTAGGTGGTGGCAAAACAATTTTCTTGATATCGACTCTGGGAAAGGTATCACCCATCCGCGTACAAGGCTCGACTCAGTCGGACAGTTTTCTTGAGTAGCTGAGAGCCTATGAATATGATTGGATTCACAAGGAACACTGTGTGGAAGGCTGCGTCCCTTGTTCTGGCTTTGTCAGCCATGCTCGCGGTATTTGCGGTGACGGAGGGTGCGGAGTTTGGCTACCATCAGGAGGCGGTGAATTATGATGGATTCGAGCTGCTTCGACGCATCGGAAATAATGGTGTTCCGGACGATGTGCCCACAGATTTCGACTGCGAAGCACGCTATCTGGCTTACAACTACAGTCTCTCGTTACAACCGCATCGTGCACCGATGAAGAACGTGTGGGATGCACTCCAATTGACCACGCTATGTCACAAACCATTCAATCCTAACCCTGACATTTCAGTTCAGCAGCAGCGACGCACGGACCAGCAACATCAGAAGAAGAAGAGGCTATCACCACCATTGAGCGACAAGCTGAGCCAAGTCCAGTATCGTGTGTATGTGGATGCGAAAGTCGGGGATGACTTCAGCACGGATGCAAGCGATGCGCGCACTCCGTTCAGGACGCTGCATCGGGCACTGGCACACACTCGGGCGTACCGACGACAGCAGCTGGACAAGAACCCTGGCTCGCGAGCTGCAGACATCAGCGTGGGCATAGTACTGCGTTCTGGAATTCACTATCTGAACACCACGGTGGAAGTGAACGTACAGGACAGCGGTACAATCATCGAATCTGCACCTGGAGAGACGGCAGTGCTGAGCGGAGGACTTCCTCTCGCACCGCAGTGGAAGCCATACAACGTGTCACAGAGTCCTGCGACGATGGTCATACAGCAAGGAGCTGACAATGTATGGGGACATGTGCCCGGTCCAGGAAAGAGCACACCAACTATCAAGTAAGTTTTTTAAAAAATTTAAAAAATGGTTTTAACCATCACCACCCCACCGCCACCTTTAACACAGGGGCATTTCCTGGCCCCTGCTGGGACTTCCCTACATTGTCCAACGAAATGATAAAACCCTGGGCTTGCAAACTGGTATGCGTTTGTACAGGAAGGGGATGATAAACCACAGAATCCAACGAAATTGCAGTGCACGTGGGTGCTTGGCTCAGAGACATTCTCTCGGGAATCTCCTACATGTACAGTGACGACATTCGCTGACAGTGCAAGCCGGTGCATCACTAGAGTTGTCTTGACCAGGACTGATGTCTCCTTTCATGACAGCTACTTTACCATTATAACACCCTGCATTGCTATTGTATAATTATTGCAGTGACTCTCCCTCCATCCATCAGAGTGTTAACTCTGGCTTCTAGTCAGTCGGTAGAATACATGTTAGGGTAACCCTATAGGTGTAAATTTTGGCAAATTGCCGGCAAAGTGCTCGATTCACAGAGTGCAGAGCGTTTCAAACGAGAAAGAGAAAAGTGGGCCGGTTGGGATTCGTCGTAGCTCACTGTTTCATGCTAATACAATCATTTGACGAATCCCAACTGGCCCCTTTTCTCTCTTTCTCTTTGTAAAGGTAACTCTATGTTGGTGCTAGAAGCACATCTATGTACGTCCTGACTAGCTGCGGCGATATTTCTTTCGTCTGGGCTTGCACCATGCAGGTACGTGGGAACGTTCGCCAGCAGTGAGGAGTGCCAAGCCCAGTGCAAGTACGGCACCTGCTTTGCGTGGACCTGGCACAAGAAGGACGCGACCGGCTGGAGCCAGGGCTGCTACCTGCACAGCGACCACTGGTGGTCACCACATGTCTCCACCACCGACACGAGTGGCTACTGGGCGCAGGCTCCTAACATCTACGTTGCCGATGTCACCGAGCAAGCACCGGAAAACCTGCAGCTCGGCATGTTCGTTGCCGAAACACGAGAAGACGCCGAGGCCGGTAACTTCTTCCGCGCCAACCGTGCACGCTATCCGAACATTGTGAGTGCGGAGAGGACCCTGTTCCCGGCTGGATGGGTGCCGGGCGGGGCCGACTGGGATGGACCTGCGGACCTGGGCAACTCGACCTTCATCACGGTCGGCACGCCGACGTACGAGGCCAACCCGGACTTTGAGCACTTCCAGATCGGCGTGGACGGCCCGTGCAGCATCTTCACACCGCCCGAGTCGTACTGGTGCTCCGAAAAGCCCAGCGGTGGTGGAGCGTTCACGTTCCTGTCCCCGTCCGGCGTAACCTTCAACAAGACGGTCCTGACACGAGCCGCGACATACAATGCGGAGCTATTCCAGGAGACTGCAGTACTGCATACATGGCGCCCGTCGCATTGGTCCTCGTGGATGTTCGAGTTCAAGGACTTCGACCCGGAATCTGGGAAGGGCAAGTTCTCCCGGGGAGGATTTCAAGGTGCACGGGGAAGCGCAAAGGGCTCTGAGTGGTGGTTGGCAAATGTTTTCGAAGAGCTCGATCACCCTAATGAGTACTTCTATAATCCAGACACTGGTAAACTATACTATTTCCACAATGGAACTGGAGCTCCACCGGAAGACTTCCAGTTTGTTGCTGCCAACCTGAAAACTCTCATCAGCATCACTGCTGCTATGGACAATCCAGTGTTCAACTTTACCCTGAGGAATGTTGTCCTGACAACAGCAGCGTACACGTACATGGATCCACACGGTGTACCATCCGGTGGAGACTGGGGCCTACAACGATCCGGTGCGGTGTTTGCCGAAGGTACAAAACTACTTACGATTGAGAACTGCGTTTTCAAGAATCTAGACGGCAACGGATTGTTCCTGTCTGGATTTGTCCATGACAGTATGATCAGTAACAATGAATTCACTTTGATTGGAGACACGGCAATGGCCGCGTGGGGCTACACGAATCTGATCGACGGCACATCTGGCGAACAGCCGCGGCGTAATCGGATCGAGCAGAACTTCATCCACGAGATCGGCCTTTACGAGAAACAGTCCAGCTGCTGGTTCCAAGCCAAGTCGGCGCAGACCACACTGCGTACAAACATCTGCTTCAACGGACCGCGTGCCGGCGTGAACATCAACGACGGCTTTGGCGGCGGCAACGAAATGGAAGACAACGTTCTGTTCAACATGTGCCGCGAGAGCAGCGATCACGGGCCGTTCAACTCCTGGGATCGGCAACCGTTTCTCACCGACGTTGCAGACCCTGAGAACCCGTCGCTGTACCCGGCTGTGAACAACATCCACCACAACTTCCTTATTGGCAACTACGGATCTAGCATGTGCCTGGACAACGACGACGGAAGTGCCTACTATCACCATAGCGACAACTACCTGGTGTACGGCGGACATAAGTCTAACTATGGCGGTCACAACAAGGTCTCAACCAACAACTACAACCTGTACCCTGTGGTGAGTACTAGTAGCTGATCTAAACCGATAACGTGCTGCATTGCCACAGGAAGTCTCTAAATCCAGGTGTTCTCTAAAGTCTTAACCCAGGTGATCTCTAAACCCAGGTGGCCTCAAAACACAGGTGTCCTCGAAACACAGGTGGTCCCCTAACACAGGTGTTCTCTTATCCATGCACTGGTGGTCACTTGTCACAGGTGGTCTCTGAACCTAGGGATCCCTTAGCACAAGTGGTCGCTTGAAACAGGTTTTGCATTGAGGCTTTACTTTACTTCAGCTTGTACCATCCTCCCCTCCCAAGCCTACCCCGCACAAGAGATCCTGCCTATAATTGTAGTGTGATACATTCCTTTCCAGCACTAAAGCCATCACAGTAATACTGTACCGTTGTCTCTTTCCTGTGTGCGGTGTGCTGTTTTGTTTTGGGTACAGGTCTATTCCTATTCCTGTTTCAGTATCTTTCAGAACACGCTCAACGCCACGTACGCCGAGGCCTACATGAACTGCACGTGCGTACTGCGCGGCGTGGCCAACGAGAACATGTACCGCTTTCAGCCGGCCTGCGATCTCACCAAGCCAGACACGCTCTCGTTCCTCACCGGCGACAACACCATCTACACGCCCACCGCCAACGCCACGGTGAACGCCTGCGGCAAGACGCTGACGGCCGAGCAGTGGCTGCAGCTGGGACTGGACAAGGGCACGGTGCTGAAGACATCGCCGGACGTGGACACCATCATCGGCTGGGGAAGGAAGCTCTTCAATCTGAAATAGTAGTCTGACCAGAACTATATTGCTCTCTCTCTCTCTCTCTCTCTCTCTCTCTCTCTCTCTCTCTCTCTCTCTCTCTCTCTCTCTCTCTCGCTTGCTCTCTCCCTCTGTTATGATTCCGTTAGATTTGACACCCAAATTATGAGAGGATGTCCGCTTTAGGAGCTGCATCTGCGCCTTGATTCTTGAGGGTAGTGGCGGAAAACTCCGCCTACCCGAGTCTCTACGCAAAGCATGGGATATATTTATAATTGCTGGTCTAAACAACCTGACGTCTGCCTTCCATCTTTTGTGCTGGGGAATTGTTCCTTTTCGATACCGTTTCATTTTGTTCCACTTACTGTCACGTTCTTCTTTCAGTGGGATTGAATGATACCGTCCAAACGGGAACAGTCTGTGCATGGTATCAGCTTGACTTTCGTTAAACCTTCCCAAAATACAAACCTGCCAGTTTGGTTGAAATGACGTAACCGCATGCAAATACATTGTACGTCTCGTGCAGTTTGGCTACTTTAGAGGTAAATCCCGGCTGTGCAGTCATGGCCAAAGAAATCCGACCCGGGAGTCAAGAGCAGCAATTGCATCATTACATCAAACCCCATCCGAGAGCCGCATCATGCACGGTTCAAAACCCGTCCGAGAGCCGCATCATGCACGGTTCAAAACCCGTCCGAGGGCCGCAGCATGCTTGGCACTGCTATCGGCTCACGGGTCGGATATCTTAGGCCACAGCTGTAGTTCAGCCATGCCCGCATGCAAAGTGGTTTCCACTCGGAGAGCATGTCCGTGCAAGTTCATTTGGGTTGTGAGCCATGATGAAGAAAACCTTTTAAGGACAAGAATGTAAGAACATGCTGGGAGGTGCCTTTGCATGCAATCAAGCATTTTTCAGCCGATGCAGAAGTGAAGCCAGGAACGACAAGTGGCTCTGGGGTTACTCGGCAACTCTTGACATGCAAGCGAAGGGCATCTGTGTATGCATGTGTTCTTACTCAGTGTCACCAAGTGCAACATTGCATGCTGAACAGCAACAACTCATGCATAGATCATCACCATCAGTCTTTCCTACCATCAAAACACAAACTCTCACACCAAATTTCTACTATCGACCTATGAATAAGCATAGATTTTCTTCTCTGTAAAATATGAATCTGGTCCACAAAGAATAATCATATTGCACACTAGGAAATAGTATTGTCAACCAATCCGAGCACGTACTTCCCCACGTGCGAGTCGTCACGGAATTCCAAACAGGGATTTTCCCCACCCGATGATCGTGTCCACATCGGGCGACACCTTAACACTGGTCCCCGGGTCCAGGTTCATGGCCAGCCACTGGTCGGAGGTCAGCGACTTGCCGCACATCTTGAGCTCGGCCTTGCCACTGGGTGTGTACACCGTGTTGCCACCGGTCTTGAAGAAGAGCGTGTCGGGCTTGTTCAGATCGCACTCGGGCAGGATGGAGTACATGTGCTCGCCGCTCACGCCCTGCAGCACGCACGTGCAGTTCAGGTAGGCGTCGGCGTGCGTGCGATTCACCGCGGCGAAGCTCATGCGAAAGCACACCAGCTCGTACACCTGGGATGCGTAGCAAACACGACAGCAGCAGCACAGACAGAACAACTTATAAACCGGGGTAACTTGGAAGACGTATGCCATACTTGCCCGAGGACAATGCGCACTTGTTCAGGCCCCAGCTCGCAGGTAGAACAACTTGTGCAGGGCAACTAGAAAGAAGTACTTCGAAGTATACATTGCAACAAAAAGAAAGGCGAATTGTACCGCAAGCATTTTTTGCTGTATTGAAACGTTTGTCTCCGAAACGGCTGTTCAAGTACACATTGCCTAACTATCCTGACCACAATGTATTCATTATTATATTCTTCTTCAATGCGGTGAACCCCTGGATAGGTGGCCCGCCTTTGGGCCAGCCTAACAGAGATAGTCTTAAAAGTTATTGTTCTATCAAGGCCAGTGATGAAAGTTCCTACTTCATTTCGCATACCGGAAGCATGTTGCAACGCTCTTCGTCACGAAAAAAGTTGATTTAAGTTCAACGTTTTCGACCCATAGCACGACCATCGCCACAATCATGGTTATATACAAGCAGAGAAGCCTGTCTAAGGCGACCGCTCAAGGGACCTTAAAAATGTGGTCTCCGTGTACAGGTAGTCTCCTTATCCAGGGCCATTTGACTGGAAACGAGAGAGCTTGAAAGCTCAGGGCCCTCGCTCTGCTTTTTTGCTAGGTCATCATATACACAAAGTGTCTGCAGTCTTTGCTGCAAGCAGTGCTCAATACCTCAAAAAGGGGCAGAGCTTACCACACAGGGCAGAACAACAGAGACCAAAAATCCTTCTCGTGACTCCGATTTTCGTGTTTCAAAAACAGTTTTGAGGTATTGAGCACTGTTTGCAGCAAAGACTACAGACACTTTGTCTATATCGCTCCTGCTAGCAGTTGAGCACTTTCCCCTGAGCTGCATACAATGGACCGACCAAAACGGATGGACCTCGACTATTCGCTCAAGAACGTACCTATCCCAACGGCTAAAGACTAGAAAAGAAACATGCCTCAACAGGAGAAGCGAGCTCATCTCGGAGTGTAGGTCCCCTCAAGCTTCGTGGTCACTGCGGCACTGACTTAGCCTACGGTACAATAACCCTATCGAATCCGTTGATCCCCGAGCTATGTACAATAACCCTATATAACTAGCGAATAGCATTATTATCGTTTATCGTCTGATGAGTTTTTTGAAACACGAAATTTGGAGTCACGAGAAGGATTTTTGGTCTCTGTTGTTCTGCCCTGTGTAGGTCATCATGTATGTTATTCGAACTGATGGAAACGTTTTTGCAATACAATCATCGGCTACATCATTGCATTGCAAAAACGTTTCCATCAGCTCGAACAACATGCATGATGACCTAGGCCAAAAAGCTTAGCGAGGGCCCAGAGCATTCAAGCTCTCTCGTTTTAAAATGAACGTATTTAGTGAAATATAGACTTACATAATTATTATGTTCATCTTACTAAGTGGTGAATCAAGCCCTTCGTTGTATTCGTACACTTCCTACCCTCCTCCTCCCCCCCCCCCCCCCCCGGATGATTACAATTCAACAATAATGTGAATAATGCAATCTCTAGTTCTCCATACAGTGCTGCGACGGCAGAACTTCACATCATGTGGCATGGCTCAAAAGGTTACTTTGGCAAACAGTGCAAAGTGACCAGGAGAAAGCTGAAGCCAAAGCAGGGTTGCGTACAACCCTGTATCTATCATGCACAGGGTGCAAATGCTGTGTACGGGTTCGTAGCGTGATGTGAAGTTCTACCGTCACAGACCCCATACTAGCTGGAGTCGCACACTCTTAGGAGTTACTGTATAGCAGGAAATTTTCGGACGGAAATATTTTCGGACAAAACCGAATTTCGCACTTTCGTACGGATTTCATTTTCGTACAGTGTAGCATGCTAAATGCACGTGTTCGCATGCGGTACGCATGTATAGTGTACATAACTTCACAGGAACAAATTTTAGTACGGAATTAATTTTAGTACAAAAGAGGCCGTGAAATCGTCAGAAAATAAATTCCGTCCGAAAATTTCCTGCTATACAGTATGTACTCTTGAGTCTTGATATCAGCACAACAGCTTACCCGTGGGTAGATATTGTAGTTGTTTGTGGAGACCTTGTCGTGGCCATAGAAGTTGCTCTTGTGTCCGCCGTACACCAGGTAATTGTTGCTATGGTGATAATAGGCGCTGCCGTCGTCGTTGTCAAAGCACATGCTGGAGCCGTAGTAGCCGATGACTAGATTGTGCGTGAAGTTGTTCACGGCGGGGTAGACGGACGGCGCGGCGGGATTGGCGACGGCCGTCACGAACGGCTGCCGGTCCCAGGAGTTAAACGGCGCGTGATCGGAGCTCTCGCGGCACAGGTTAAACAGAACGTTGTCCGCCATGACGTTAGCGCCGCCGAAGCCGTCGTTGAAATTCACGCCGGCTCGCGGGCCGTTGAAGCAGACGTTCTTGGAGAGTCGCGTTTGCGCCGAGCGCGCCTGAAACCAGCAGCTGGCCTGCTTCTCGTAGAGGCCGAGCTCGTGGAAGAAGTTCGACTCGACGAGAGTGCGGCGCGGCTGCTCCTGGTTGGTACCGTCGATGAGATCCGTGTAGCCCCATGCCGCTATGGCAGAGTCGCCGATGAGCGTGAACTCATTGCCGGAGATGACGCTATCGTGGACAAAGCCGGACAGGAACAGTGCGTTGCCGTCGAGGTTCTTGAAGAGACAGTTGCGGACGGTGAGATTTGCCGTGCCCTCGGCGAACACGGCACCCATCCGCTGCAGCGCCCAGTCACCGCCGGACGGTACGCCATGCGGGTCCATGAAGGTGTATGCGGCGCCCGTCAACACCACGTTCTGTATGGTGAAGTTAACCACCGGCGCTGCCTTGCTACCCGTGATGTTCACCAGCGTCTTCAGATTGGCGGCGACAAACTGAAACCCGCTCGGTGGTGCTGTGCCGCTGCTTGCATTGTGGAAATAGTACAGCTTGCCCGTGTCCCGATTGTAGAAGTACTCGTTGGGGAAGTCGAGCTCCTCGAAGACATTGTCGATCCACCATTCGGCGCCCGTGCTGGCACCGCGGGCACCCTGGAAACCGCCGCGAGAGAACTCGCCGTGCAGCCCGGAGGCGTCAAAGTCCTTGAACTCAAACATCCACGTGGCCCAGTGGGAAGGTCGCCATGTGTGCAGGACGGCCGACGAGGCGAAGAGCGTGCCATTGTACGACGGCTTGTTCAGCGCATCCTTGTGAAACGTGACGCCGCTCGGCGACTGGAACATGTGTGGACCGCCGCCCTCGGCATGGTCGGAACACCAGTACGACTCCGGCGGCGTGAATATACTGCACGGGCCTCCGGTGCCCACACGATAGTTGGTGAACAGAGGGTTTAGATCGTACGTCGGGTGATCCACGGTGGTGAAGTTCGGCTTGCCAAAGTCCCTGGGCTTGTCCCAGTCGACGCCGCCGCCGATCCAGCCGTTCGGAAACTGCGTCACCTCCTGCGAGACAATGTCCGGGAATCGAGCACGCGTGGCACGCCACAGATTCCCGGTCGCCGCGTCCTCAGCAGTGCTGGCGACAAACAGACCGAGCCCAAGTTTCTCCGGTACACCAGTGCCGACATCGGCGACGTAGACGTTTGGTCCTCGCAGCCAATGGCCGCTGGTCATGTCGTTCTCTTTGGTCGGCGCCCACACGTGATCGCTGCGGTGATAGCACATGTGTCGCCACTCGCCCTGTGACTGTCCGTGCCACACCCAGGAGTTGCACACGTCCTCGGTGGAGTTGTACTTGCACAGCTGCTGGCATTCCTCCGCGGTGTCCATCTTGCCTTTGTAGCTGATCAACAACAAACAACACCACCACAGTTACCCGATGTGCACAATGCAGCAAGCACAAAATGCCGGTACTTGTCAATACTCAATGTGTCAGTACTCAGTATGTCAATACTCAGTATGTCAATACTCAGTATGTCAATACTCAGTATGTCAATACTCAGTATGTCAATACTCAGTATGTCAATACTCAGTATGTCAATACTCGTACTATTACAGTGCATGAACTACAGTACAGTGAAACCTGTCTACAAGACGACCGCTCAAGGGACCTTCAAAGTGCAGTCTCTGTTACCAGGTGGTTTCCTTATCCAGGGTCAGTTGACTGGAAATAAGGAAATACATGAAGCATCCCTCGGTCCTGGTTGCAGTGGTCTTCTAGGACAGGTGGTCGCCTTATGCGAGTGGTCGCTTTCACAGGTTTTTACTGTACTTCGAAGTAGAATGCCGATTTTCCGAACCTCAACTATCCAAACAATCGATTGCCCGAATTGCCTTTTTGCTTTGAGCTTTTGAAACTTTTCAAATGATGCACAGGATATGTATACCCGGTAGCAGTAGGATGTCGTCAAAATGTATCCCCGTGGAGCCACTTCGAGAAGCTGAAGTGTGCCTAATCCCTGCAGTAATGCCGAAGAGAATGAGAAGTGATGAAAACATAGGGGAATGCACATGTGCTAGATGCACGCGTGGCCGCTTCTGTATCCGAATCCACTCCTCATCCAAACTCCATGGACACGGACCTGCGCCATCATGTGGGCATGCGGATAATCGGCACTCTACTGTACAGCACAGTCCATTACCAATACTGAGTAGTAGCCTGTGTTCAAGACAGCAATGACGTACATTCCAGTGCTCATCTAATAAAGTAAATAAATTCGACGGGTTCGCGTACCGGGCAGGTCAACAACAAGGAGTCGTACAACTCCCTGGTCAAGAACCACCTTTCTGCTTCCGTGGGACGCCGCCACCCCATGATCAGGCATCAGATGCGGCTCCTAAACGGGGGGGGGGGGGGGGGCTCATTCAATGCATGCAACCAAATGCCATCCTACTCACAACACCAGCAGATAATACCCCCCCCCCCCCCCCACCCACACATGCATACACACAGCGGAGGATAAACGGACAGACACACAGACACATACACTCACTGACTCAGTCACGCACATGTACGTTGTACTGTCGTGGACATGGAAATCCGGTCGCACGTCTAGCGGCCCCAGGGCGCTGGCCATGCAGCCGTGGATAAGCGGTACGTACACACATGCATTTTATGCGCTGCAGCACGCTGGTCGCATCGGATCAACATGTGCGCTGCACGCAGCGTTCTATACGCGCTGAGGGCGCCGGGCCCGGTCAATCGACCAGATTTCCATGTCCAAGACAGTACATGTAGACTGCGAATGTGGCTTACTGTATGGTGGGTGTACTGCTCCCAGCCTGTCCCACCTGCCCATAGATATTGTTTTGCCCCTGATCGACAATCATCTGCACTCCACCCGATGTATTGTACGCAGTCCACTCTACGGACAGTGGCATACCACCACTCAAAACAGCTGTCTCTCCCTGATACGATTCCAGGGTGGTAGAGCTATCAGCTGCCGTGATCTGCAGAGTCTCGTTCAGGTAGTGGACTCCACCGCGCAGGACTATGTTGGCAGTGACATGCCAATCACCGCCTTGCTGCTGTCTGAACTTCCTCGTCTGGCGGAGTGCTCGCTGAATGGACTTGAACGGCGTCCGCTCCGACGAGCCGTCCACCGAGGCATCGTCACCGCGAACTGCATCCACGTAGACACTGTACTCGTACCGATGTGTGGCTCGATGTTGCTCCTTCTCCAGGGCAAGCCTCGCCTCGCGTGCCTGTAGAGCGGCTCTGGCTGCGGAGGCCCCCGTCGTTTCGTCGAATGTTTTGCCGCATAGCGTGGTCAGCTGAAGGGCGTCCCACACGCTTTTCATCGGAGCGCGCTCCGGCTGGGTCTTCAGGCTCACGTTGTACGTCAAGTGGCGCACTTCGCAGTCGAAGTTCTCCGGAATGTCCTCGGGAACGCCGCCATTGCGCAGGCGTTTCAGCAGCTCGAAACCATCGTAGTTCACCGCCTTGTGATCGTAGCCGAATGTGAATCGGTCGCCGCAGTGCGAGAGGCCGCAGAGGGCAGAAAGCAACAAGAGCAGCACCTGCACTGACTGGGCCAGCTCAACGGTGCAGCAGCGGAACGCCATGATGATTGTAAAGATCCCGTCGCCAGTCGTCAAGCTGATGATAGAAAGAAGAAATGTGCAATGGGACGACTCTAACGTCCATCCAAACACACGTTCAACTGAAATACATCGATTCCTTCCCAACGCAGATCTACCCTCGCCCATCATCATTATCATGTCACAACGTTGCTTTTGAATCTCGTGATCAGCTTCTCCAAAAAAAGGTTCGATGATCCATAATTATCTGATCCAGTACCGGTACATGTACCAACTAGACGTAAAAGAAAGAAGGAAAATATGGCCCGGATTTCGTATCTGTATCTTCTTTTTTCTTTTCTTTTATCACTTCCCTGAATAGCCTGATACAGTTTTTAAATCACTGCTGGACCTGGTTACATTGTGCCAGAGGAAGAATGCGGATTGACATTTCTGAAACGGACACCATAACCGCCGGAATCATTCACCCAAAAAAGTAACTTTCCTCGGGGGGGGGGGGCGGGAGGTTGAGCACTAACCTGTAAAGGCTGTAATGGCAGCAGAGCAGCAACAACACGGGGCAGGGCGCATGCCGAAAGTGTCCACCAGACGTTCAGGAGTGAACATAAACAGTTACTATTCAGGGGCGTCGGAAGATATTCGACATGGGTGCGGCCGTATGAGTAGGCGGGGTCCCCCCCCCCAGGAAATTCTAGGAAAATTTGGCCCAAATAGCCCAAATTTCATTGCTTCAAAAGTCACGCTGAGATGAAATTATTGGTGTGGCTTTGGCCGGACCTACTGCACCGGTTCCGACGCCCCTGCTATTATGTGCAACTCCAGTCGAGGCTGAACCGACCCCGACTGCATTCGAGATCTCGGACATGCACGCAAAACGCACAGAAAACTAGCCCAAGCGTCATAATGCTAATGTCATAATGCTATGACCCGGCTAACGGGGCAAACCTACCAAGGAGTGTGTGTAGTTACCGTGGGCCTCCCCTGGTATTCACTATCACAGCCTCCCGTACACTCACTTGCCGTTTGTCTGTTCAAGCACTGCACATGCACAGACAAACTTTGGATATCTCGCACACACCGTATGTATACATGACTTATGCTGTAAACCGGTAACCAACGATTGCCTCCGGATGGCGAGGATCTGGATAAAAGAGGACCGGATAAGCGAGGTCTGACCGTACGATTCAAATTCCAACGATAAAGTCAATAGAAACATGTTCAATATAGTTCCAAGTAGGGAAATCGGTTGGCGGAGTCCATCTAATAAAAGCGTACAGATATGACGTTTGGAGCGAAACGCCGCGATAGAAATTTTATATAATACCATGCAATTGAATAATAAAAATGAGTCTCTAATAAAGCTGCGGCAGCACTTCTTGGGTAAGCGCCAAAAACCAAACAGCAAGCAAGATAGACACAGCAAGCAGATCAAGAGCCCGGGGGCTTTTGACCCGAGGAGCGGGAGGGGTGAGACGAGGGGTAGGGGGGGGGGGGGTATATCGGACCAGCCTTTACAAAGTGGACAAACGAGTAACAGGGCGTGCGTGCGGCGACAGGTTGGCGTGGACTTGTTTCACCTAGGGAGTAGACAGAATAGCAGGCTAAGCAGTATGTACATATCAAGTGAGTAGACAGCATAGCAGGCTAAGCAGTACGATTGTACATATCAAGTAGCAGCAGGTAGCAGCAGGACACACGGAAAAGGATGAAAATAGATGGTGCTGCTAACAAACGCTCGACAGCGGCCAAATTTGTACAGTAAGGAAATGGATGCATCCTCTACATGGCAATAGGAAGGCTAGAATACAAGAGAGGGAGAGGCGTTGGTTTCGGTGAAGACGGTTATTTGTATGTACATGTACATTGGTATCATGTCTAACATCGGATGTGGCGCAAGCGAAGGCTAGGCTGACGCCGATGCCAACGCGAAAGGGCTGATGAGGATGATGATGAGGATGTACATTGAAGTGTGGACGTGACTGTTAGAATGAGTTAGATGGGCCTCACGGCGCGTGACATTTATACAGTACTAATAATCGCTGCTTTGAACAGCGACAGCATCTTACAGGCAAGAAAAGAAAAGCTGATGATTAGAACTAAGCAGCACGTCGGAAGCGTGCACACCTCACACACACACACACACACACACACACACACACACACACACACACACACACACACGCGCGCGCGCGCGCACAGTCAGCACAGCTGGCCAATAGTGTTTTGTTAGAAGCGAAAGGTTAGGCGAGACAGAATTCAGGCGTGCTCGGGACCAGCGTGTCAAGTTCACACCGCCGCACTTTGATGAAACACTCAAACAAAGACGGCGAATGGCTCAGGGCAGAGCCGGGGACCTGCTCTGTTTGCGGCCATGTCGCCGCGACAAGCTCTCACGTGGAGTCAGGGCATGGACTTCAAGTGGCCGGCTCACCAACAAGAGCCTGACCGGCTGAGCGTCAAACATACTTGCCTTGCCTTACAAATAAGGTCCGCTGAGGCAGCTCGATGCAGAGTGCTCGATGCAGAGTGCTCGATGCACAAACTTTACTTGCGTTATGTATCAACGCACGGGCGTGCCCTGGTGCCTTACACGGGCGGCACATATCAACAAATCTACACGGAGCTTGGCGGCTAAGCTAGGAGTCAGTGGCCGCCACCACCGCGGCCATTTAGCCATTTCGCCATGCTACATATTTCACGTTTGTACACTGTCGCCAGGTAGCACATTGCAACAATAGCTTACACGGTAACAATCGTTCGCAAAAGGAAAGGTCAAACGGCAGAGCTCAAGTCCTCTACTCCGTACTCGATCGGCGAACGCAACGCAACGAACACAGCAGCGAACTTGCGTGCCTGCTTGCACGTTGCTCCACCACCGACAGTAACAGCAGCTGCAACAATATTACTTGAGGACATGAACTTGTACATCGTACGTCGCTCCACCATCGACAGGAACAGCAGGTGCAACAATATTACTTGAGGACATGAACTTGTACATCGTACGTCGCTCCACCATCGACAGGAACAGCAGGTGCAACAATATTACTTGAGGACATGAACGTGTACATCGTACGTCGCTCCACCATCGACAGGAACAGCAGGTGCAACAATATTACTTGAGGACATGAACTTGTACATCGTACGTCGCTCCACCATCGACAGGAACAGCAGGTGCAACAATATTACTTGAGGACATGAACTTGTACCTTGCACGTTGCTCCACCATCGACAGGAACAGCAGGTGCAACAATATTACTTGAGGACATGAACTTGTACCTTGCACGTTGCTCCACCATCGACAGGAACAGCAGGTGCAACAATATTACTTGAGGACATGAACTTGTACCTTGCACGTTGCTCCACCATCGACAGGAACAGCAGGTGCAACAATATTACTTGACGACATGAACTTGTACCTTGCACGTTGTTCCACCATCGACAGGAACAGCAGGTGCAACAATATTACTTGAGGACATGAACTTGTACATCGTACGTCGCTCCACCATCGACAGGAACAGCAGGTGCAACAATATTACTTGAGGACATGAACTTGTACATCGTACGTCGCTCCACCATCGACAGGAACAGCAGGTGCAACAATATTACTTGAGGACATGAACTTGTACATCGTACGTCGCTCCACCATCGACAGGAACAGCAGGTGCAACAATATTACTTGAGGACATGAACTTGTACATCGTACGTCGCTCCACCATCGACAGGAACAGCAGGTGCAACAATATTACTTGACGACATGAACTTGTACATCGTACGTCACTCCACCATCGACAGGAACAGCAGGTGCAACAATATTACTTGACGACATGAACTTGTACCTTGCACGTTGTTCCACCATCGACAGGAACAGCAGCTGCAACAATATTACTACTTGAGGACATAAACTTGTACGTAGCGTCACCATCGTCAGTACCGGTGGCGCCAGCTGCAACACTACTACATCAGGACATCAGGACATGGACATGCTGTAGGACTGCGTGGAGCCGTAGTTGGAGTCGTTGGAGCGGCTCGTCAGGCTGAGGTAGCGCTGCGTGCGCTGAGACTTACGCCAGTGCCACGGGCCGGGCAGGCAGCCGCACACGCCGCCCATCCACTCGATGAAGCGGTCCTTCAGCGTGCGCGGTCGTGGCTGCTCCCAGTCGAGCAGGTAGTCAAACTCGGCCACCTGCACAAGAGACCGAGAAACACGCACACAAGACGGAAACAAACACCGCGTGACCATCCTCCTTCAATGTATTACAGCAGGCACAAAGAGCCTTTGCTCTCCTACTTGCTCCTACGCAGCGTGGCATGCGCTCTATTCCTATTCTCAGTCTTCTGGCGGCAGGCAGACGGAATGCTCTTCCAGCAGCTGACTGGCGGCAGGTGCAGTCTCTTGCTCTGTCCATCAACATGGTTAAACCTCACCCAGGGTTCCCAGTAAAACGACGATGGCCTGTTGGGAGTCCCCAGGTAAAAGAATGAAATCTAATACTAGTACATACACCACAGTTTTTTTCACGGTTCGCGTCAGACTCGGCTAGAGGCCGAGTTTTCCACATCCGTAGGAACGCCACCACCCTTCAAGGATCAAGGCGCAGATGCAGCTCCTAAAGCGGTGGGAGGTGAGTAGACCAGCTCACCAGCAAGTGGTCAAAGACCACAGTTGAGCTTGGTGAAATCCGACCCAGAGTGCACATTCGGCGCCCTTAAAGGGGAACTGTCACCAAAAATTTTCTTTGTCTTATCTTGTAGCTCTTTGGCTCCTGATCACGATGGTGTTATTCGTTTTTCTCTGCGATGACTGGAAGTGGGTGAAAACTTGAAAAGAAGGTGCCCAAAATTGTCCCGAAGTACCGAGTGACGTCACGCCGGACTTGACCTCCACGCGTACTTTCATCGTCAAAAACGAAGTCCAGCCCGTGTGCTCGTCGATCGAGCCAACTGGTCGATGTACGGTGCACGCTTGCCTTCTGAACTCGGACACTCGATGTGTACGTTGTACACAATGAGAACGCCAAAAAGGGACAAAATAAACAAAAGTCGACTGCAGTTTGTCGCACTGGTACTTCCTCCACGACGCTCCAGCTCTTTGTTTTATTTGTGATTACGAAGGAGTGGAAGGATGTTTGTTTGCTGTTAGTGTGACACACATACCTCGTACTTGAAAATGATGTCGTTGTATCGAAGGTGGCGATGTTGCCCACCCGGCTCTGAAATGAAAGACGTCGGAGTTCGTCATCTGCATCTTCAGCAACATCGCCAGATGAATCGCCTTCACGTAACTACATTGCGTTCCTTTGGGGCTCGGGTTGGTGGTGTTATCGCCGGCCGGAGGAGTACTGTTTTCTGCATACGCACTCATCATCGTGTTGTTCCTCACACGAAAAGTTCAAAACAACGGCGTACTTCCGTGCTCACAAAATAAAACTTAGATCCTCGCGGAAGAAGTCAAAAAGGTGAAAGCTCAGCTGCTTTTTATTTTGATTTGGCTGTGTAGCTGCACGTGGGTCTCTGCCTCTTTGGCATTCTCCTTCGGTACGACGTACCCATCTGTGTTACAGTTCAAAAGGCACACGTGCACCGTACACATGGTACATTGGAACAGCTAGCTCGATCGACGAGCACACGGGCTGGATTTCGTTTTTGACGACGAATGTACGTGTGGAGGTCAAGTCCGGCGTGACGTCACTCGGTACTTCGGGACAATTTTGGGCACCTTCTTTTCAAGTTTTCACCCACTTCCAGCCATCGCAGAGAAAAACGGATAACACCATCGTGATCAGGAGCCAAAGAACTACAAGATAAGACAAAGAAATTTTTTGGTGACAGTTCCCCTTTAAATTAACATGCACGGCCTTTGACCCACTGGAAGTGGCATGAATGCGGCTGAACGTACACAATCATGTAGAAACAGAACGATGCGATCGGACCTGGTCCAGGGCGCTAGCTTTGCACTTTGGGTCGGATTTCAGTGAGCGTGATTGTACATGACTGTACTACTGAGCAGAAACAGGGCCATCCAGCAAAGCAAAGCACCAGAACAGAAAAAGCTTCGTGTCCCCCATTGCTACATGGCCAGGGAGATAGGGTACACCACGGGGAAGTAGCACCGGGATTTCAGGCGGTACGACCAAAAGGGATACTTTGACCGAAAATGAACATTTTTATATTGATAAAAAAACCCTTCTTTGCATGACTTGGGTGGGTCAGCCTTTTCAAAAGTTGGTCCGGCCGTGGCCTGACCAGCCGGATCGGGTACTATGGCACTGCGTCATGCCATGCAGGTCCACGAGCCACGGGGACACCAAGGTCTTCTACAGGGAATGAAGTTAAGTCAAAGATCCGGCAATGTCCTCCCCCGTTGTTAGCATATTACGTTCTTCCGGGGTTCGCTCTCACTCTTCATCTCAATAATTATAATAGTAGGCGGTCTTCTTACGTGCCAAGAGACGTCTAAATAAAAATACTAAAAAGTGGCCATGGGAAGCGGGGAGAGGGGCCGTGTTAGGTTCCCACCAGAGAGCTACAGGTAGCCTCGGGCCTACCGTACCTGGATGTGTCGGTTCTTGCGGTGCCGGTAGACGAGGAATCCGAGCAAGCCAAAGCCGGCCAGACCGAACACCATTGTCAGCACGACGGGCAGGGTGTAGGAAACGACGGGCACCTTGGGTGGCACAGGCGCTGTTCACAACACACACACACACACACACACACGCACACGTACACACACACGTACACACACACGTACACACACACACACACACACACACACACACACACACACACACACACACACACACACACACACACACACACCCAACACAAACAAAATCCAAATGCAGACATGCTGAGTAAGTACCAAATCTTCCGGAGTATAAGCCGCACTGGAGTATAAGCCGTGGCTGCAAGACCAGCGCCTCCAGCTGGGTACTCATTTCTCTGAGTTCAAAGTCTACAGACATGGTTGCATTGTACACGTCAGGGTATACAGTAAAACGAAGGATCAACACCCCGAAGACCCACTAAAATAAGACGACGCTGTGAACATACGCTGTGCATGTGTGTGTGTGTGTGTGTGTGTGTGTGTGTGTGTGTGTGTGCGCGCGCACCCATGTGTGTGTGTGTGTGTGTGTGTGTGTGTGTGTGTGTGTGTGTGTGTGCGCGCGCGCGTGCGTGTGTGTATGTGTGTGCGTATGTGCGGAAGGGGGGGGGGGGGCAAACGTAACCAAACAGTTCCACCCAACTGCCTGGCAAGGAGATATTCAGCTTTGCTCTTACCATTATTGACTTCGATCTCAAGCAGCTCATCAGTGCGTGAAACGGCATTCGAACAATTGTACGCCAGCTGGTAAATTCCGGTGACGTTGAACGCATGGCCAAACGTGCGGTTGTAAATCGACACGGCGTTGAACATATCGCAGTCGCTGTAGTACGGTACATTCAGCGACGAGTTGGATTCCACTAGCGTCAGGTTCCAGCACAGGCTTGTGGGGATGATGTCAGTATCAGAGCTGGATACACACATGCATGTACGCACACACACGCACCAAGAAACGCCAAAGGCACAACAAAGATGATTGGGTCACTCCAGCATCACATACACACACAGGAACGGTCTAGTCAGCAGGGTCATTTGTAATCAGTTCCCAGAATTTCACAGAGACGGAGAACAGCTGCATCTCCGCGAAATGTCCAATCGCTCTCCACTCATACTACTAAGTTAGTGTGTTGGCAGAAACAAGGGCTGGCTTGTCATCGCTATGGTCTCCAACAAACTAAGACAGACGTACAGACTAATAGACCGAACAATACATCTGGATGGACAGAGTGCAACACCAAAAAAAGAAATTAACTAAACCACCTCCTTGTGAAATACACGACATCGCAGATAAAAAGAGAGGAGCTTATGAGAGCTGTAAGTGTTGTAGTAATGACAGCAATACAAAAAGGAGAGCTGCAAACAAACTGTACAGAGAGCAAATCCACGCAGACCATCCCGTCGTACCCATGACAACGGAACTAACCTTAAAACACAGGTGAGTGTGTAGTTAGTTCCAAATTCACCGACTTGGAAATCGTGAGGACCGTCAACATCCACACTGGATACATAGGCTGCACGGAAAAGAAAAGAAAAAAAAGAAGATAATATTAACCCTTTGGAGCCCTTACAGTCAAAAATCGACGGTATACCGTCGATGGACTAAAACGTTCGTAACTCACTCGAAACTTGACGGATTTCTACGATCGAAATATCTGGGAAGAAGCCAAAGAGCTCAGCTTTCTAATGCAACAATCGCCGAAGAGCTACGATGCCGCGTTGCAGAGATATCGCGCTCGACATTTCAGTCACGGCAAAAGTCGAACTTTTTTCTCAGTGACTGGCCTTGAGTGAGGGGTTTCCCCTTGGATGACATGCTGATTCATCCAGGTACGCTTCCTGCACGTGGCCAGTATAAAACTATACTCAGCGCAAAAAATTGAGCATTCCACGGTGAATGAGAGTGAAATGGCAGGCGTTGAGGACATTTGCTCGTATATCCAGCTCTGCGGACTGTTCGAGGCGCCGTGGCGTTGGATACGTGACTGCTGTGGTGTCGAATTTGAGCTCTACTTACTCTGCTCGCGGAGCGCTTTCCAGGAAGCCCAAGATTATGGAAATCCAATAACAAGCACCAAAGTTATGACCAAAATAAGGTAAAGAATATTATCGTGATTGCAGTCGCATACAATTATCAGGATTTTTGGGGCTCCAAAGGGTTAAATGAGCATTCTACTACCTTGGCCACAAATGACACCGGTAAGATGGATAGAATGATGGATGGATGGATAGATTGGTAGATGGCTGGATGTATAGATGGATGCATATATGGAACAACCAACAGAGGTATATGGCGGATAAAAGGTATTGATGAATATCACTGATGTGACCAGGGTATGATCAGACTGATGAATAAGACAACAATGACGGCAACGCCGACGACAACAATAGAGAGGGAGGGAGAAAGAGAGAGAGAGAGAGAGAGAGAGAGAGAGAGAGAGAGAGAGAGAGAGAGAGAGAGAGAGAGAGAGAGAGAGAGAGAGAGAGAGAGAGAGAGAGAGAGAGAGACACACACACACACACACACACATACACACACACAAGTGTGTATACAAACACAACTGGTTGAAAGTTAAACGCTCACCCACTACGCTCAGCGGAGGGAAGAGAGCTGTGCCGGCAGCCAGCTGCAGACCCAGCGTGTAGTTACCAACGCTCATAGCACGGACTGTCACCCTGGGAGAATACACACCTGAACAAC